AATTCATATAACAGTTCAGTTTCATGAACTTCTCTTGAAAAGTCTGGCAAACATACTACGATAGTTCATTTTATAAGTCAACTTGACTAGGTTGCAGGATGCCCAGATACGTGGTTCAACATTATTTCCGTCTACAGGAGAGATCGGCATTTGAACTTGTGGGCTGAGCAAACCAGATCACCCTCCCCAACACAGGTGGGCATCACCAATCCATTGAGGGCTTGAACAGCTCACAAAGGTGGCTGGACTTGCTCTGTCCCCACCAGACCGTTGAACTGAGATGCAAATCTCTGTCCTTGGTACTCTCGGCTCTCAACCCTTCAGATTCACACTGGGGTCCACACCATTGGTTCCTGGCTCTCAGGTCTTCAAACAATAAACCCACTTTTCCTGGGTCCCCAGCTTGCAGACAGCAGATCATGGGACTTTTCAGCTTTCACAACTATGTGTGCCAATACCCTATACTAAATCCCTTCCGCTGTCCCATGCCCCACGCCTCTACTTCCTCCTGCTGTATTCTCTTAGCTCTGCCTCCATACATATTCACTGGGGCTTTTTCTCTCACAGAGTCAACAAGAAAAAGGAGTCAACTAGAGAGATGCAACTGCCAAGTGAACCTAACTAGATGCCCAAGAAAGAAAGAAAGAGTGAGTAAGCCAGGCAGGGCCCTCCTTGATTACTAGTGAACAGCCCAGAATCCTGTTTCTAAGCCTCTGAATAAACATGGGAGTCTATTCCACTCTGAGACAGGAAATTCCTCTTCCTCGGTCACTTGTATGTACCCCAGGAGGCAACCCAAATTGCTAGGACCTTGGCAAGTTCCAGGATAGACTACGGTAAAGCAAAGGAACTGTCAGCAGGGAGGTGCCCAGGAGTAGTGAAGGTCCCTAAGGAAACCAAACTGACACATTTGGCCTTCAAAATACAGGAGCAGCCCCTTCGATGACAACATGGTACAGCTGTACCCTGGATCAGAAAAGTATCTGTGTTGTCCAGTACAGTGCCCACTGGCCACATGTGACAAATGACTGCTTGAAACGTGACTGCTATGACAGAGGACCAGAATTTTAAATTTTTATTAACTTTAATTAACTTTAGTTAATTAAAATCGAAATTTAAAAACTAACACAAGTCATTAGAAAACAGGGGCTGGGAGTGTAGTTCAGTGGTAGAGCACATGATTAACGTGCACACTGCTCCAGTTTGATCCCCAGCATCATAAGACAAAAGGCAAAGAAGTTACTAGAAAACATGTTTGAATCAACTTGACTAGATGAATTTATTTTTTCAAAAATAACATTCATGAAATCTAAATATGGATCAAATATTTCCAATGAAAATTCACATGAGATTGAGATGTCTATAAGTATGAAATACATATGAATATAAAAATACCGTACTAGTGATTTTTTAATACTGAAAAAACATGGAAATGACAATTTTGGATACACTGGGTTATTTAAAACATATTAGAACTGGAGATATAGCTCAGTGGCTCAGACACTTGCCTGTTAAGTGCAAGGTCATGAATTCGATCCCTGGTACCAAAAAATAAAAAATAAAGTGTAAAACATATTATTAAAATTAATTTCACCTTTCTACACAGTTTGGATCATATTTCCACTGCCAGTCTATAAAAATATAAACTTATGAAGTGGATAACTTAAAGGCAAACTATAAAAGATGCTTCATTCCACAAAAATTTAACTTTAAAAAACAGCTGTTTTGCTGGGGATTTAGCTCCGTGGCATAAGCACCTGCCTTGCAAGCAGGCAGCCGTGAGTTCGATCCCCGGTACCAAGAAAAAGACAAAAAAAAAAAAAAAAAACAGCTGTTTTAAGATAGTATCCTATTTACATGTTTAAAATACATAAAGCTTGGGGGGAACAGTTATATTGAAAAAAAAAAAACCATAGTCTCAATATATCAAAAACCAAATGTGAGAAACCATATTATACCAAATTATTAACAGTGGAATCATGTTTCAAGCACTATAGATCCACAGGAAAAAATAAAATGGGCCTCTAACATAGAGACCAACAGATATTAACTAATGTCCCAGATAACTTCTCAAGGGGATTTAACCACAGGCTTATGATCTGATCAGATTTATGTCCATGTCAACTATTTAAGAAAGCCAAAGAAAATGTTACAGACCAAGAATATTCAATAATTCACAAACTGAGGCAGTAATTAGCAGAAGAGATTCAAATTGCTCTTTTCATAAAAACTGAAGAATAATTAAACCCCAAAGAACTAGGAAAATAGAGAAAATTTTAAAGATAGAACTTAAGAAAAGTAGAATTTATACCATGAAATTCTGTACAGAAAAAGTAAACAAAGACATATATTCTAGAAAACATTGACAATATTGATGGATATTATCTTCCATTAAATGATGAGTAATCAAAAAAATGGAGGGTCTGCCTTTTACAAGATACATGTATTATTTTATGTGACAAGCAGAACAAAAGAAGCATGCTTCATGGGGCTTATTTGCTTCTTACCACTCTGACATTTTGGCTCCAGTCACATTTTAGTAGGAGTGTTTCAGCAAATTTCAGTTCAAAGAACATGAAGGAATCATGTCCCTTTAAGTGGTAACTAGCAACTTGCTGAGGCGATTAAACACAAAGACCAGTGGGGAGGGTACAGCACTCAAATCCCAAAGCAGGCTGACAGTTCTGTGACCTCCTGGCTTATTAGAAGGTGATGATAGATCGTACAGTCATTGCAAAGAAGTGTAGATCCTATTCAACCAGTGAGTAAACAGTGCAAGTTTTGAGTGTCTACTATGTGCCACACATTAAATGACTGATTACATTTGACCTGTATAATGCCTGCAAGACAGACAGCAGCCGTATCTAACTAATAATAAAACTGGGTTAGAAAGCTTAAGTGACCTGCTGAGACTCACTTTTAGAAAATACCAAAGCAGGGGCTGGGGATTTAGCTCAGCGGCACAAACGCCTGCTTTGCAAGCATGTGGTCGTGAGTTCGATCCCTGATACCGATAAAAAAAAAAAAAGAAAATACCAAAGCTGAGATATGAATCAATAAGAAAGAACCCAAGTATGGACTCTTTCACTAAGCCAATAATAGTTTTGATCTGCACCACTATAACCTCTGAAAACAGCTGGTCAGGACTAAGGGCAATGCTTAGTGATACAGACTCAGCGCATGCTCTATTAACATTCCAACAGTCAATTGGCAGAGAGGGAAAAATTCCCCCTAAAATTCATATGGAATTGTAAAGGACCCCTAACAGCCAAAACCATCTTGAGAAAGAACAATATTAGAGGATCCCTACTTCCCTGTCCCAAAACTTAATACAAAGGTATAGTAATCAAAAGAGAATGGAATTACTGGAAGAATAAACATATAAATCAATGGCATATTAAGAGTCCACAAATCTGTGGTCAATTGATTTGACAGGAGTGCCAAGACCATTCAACAGGGAAAGAATTGCATCTTCAACTAACTGAGCTGTGACAACTGCATGTCCACATGTGAAAAACGAGGGTGGAGTTTTACCTAACATCATAGAATACTAACTCAAAATGAATTTTGTTGGGCATAGTGGCCTATGCCTGTAATCCTCATCCTCGGGGGGCTGGGGCGGGCAGATTGCCATGAGTTTGAGGCCAGCCTCGTCTACATAGTGAGCTTAAGGCCAGCCTGAACTACAAAGTGACACTCCATCTCAAAAAACGAGAAGAGCAGCAGGACTATTTGAGTTCAATCCCTGGTATCAAAAATAAAAATAAAATAAAAAGTAGGCAGTGGTTTCAGACATGATATCAACTACATAAGAAACTTTTCAAGAAGAAAACAGATAAACTGGATATCATCAAAACTAAAAGCCTTTGGTCACAGAAAAATAATTCACAGAATGCAGAGCATGAAAAACAATTCATGAAACAGGAGAATCATTTATCTGGTAAGGACCTAACATCTCCAGAATGAAAAAACTCTAACAACTCAACAACAAAAAAAGACAACTCAATTTAAAAAAAGGGCCAAAGACCCAGAGTAGACATTTCTCCAGAGATATACAAATAGCCAAAAAGCACATGAAGAAAGACACTCAAGTTATGCATCACAACAGAAAGGCTACTCAAAACCACTTCACAATTTGTAACCAATGTTTGTAAGCCTATGGAGAAGTTGGAACCTATACACCTGCTGGTGGACATGTAAAATGATGCAGCTCCTGTGGAAAAGTCTGGCAATTCCTTAGTTAAACAGAATCATCTCACACTTCCATGCCTGAGTAACAGTCAGAAGAAAGGAAAACAGATGTGCAGGCAGAGACTTGTCTGTAAACCTTCACAGCAACAGAAATAACAGCCCCCAAAACAGGAAACACTACAAATGTCTATCAGCTGGACAGATGGATGGGCGAGCAGAAGGTTGTGCATGAATCTAATGGAAGAGGATCCAGTCATCAAAAAGAAAAGCACACTTTCACAAGCTCCAACACAAACGGACTTCGAAAACGTGCTATATGAAAGAACCCAGACAAAAAAGGCCACAAAGCTCATGATATCATGTAAATGAAATTTCCAGAGTAGGCAAATCCAGAGACAGCAGATTAGTAGCCGCCTTGGGTAGGGGGATTGGAGAGTTGAGTATGACTGCTTAATGGGTACAGGCTTTATTTTTGGGATGTAAAAAATGTCTTCAGACTAGACAACGGTCATGGATATGCACATTGTGAATGTACTAAACACCAATAAACTGTACTCTCAACTGGTTAAAATGGTAAATTTTGTCACATGCGATTTATCACAATTTAAAAACAAAACATGTATACGTAATTCTGAGAACATCCAAAGGAAAAACATATGCAGAAAACAACTTGAGAAATGATAAAACATTCTTTCCAGTAACAACTTTTCCCAGGGACATGGCCATTGCACTATGTCATATTAATTTTCCCAGACGAAATTGTCAGGGCCACGCCCAGCTTTGTCCTCCATTGAAGAGATAACACCTACCTCCAATTACTCGGATATTATTATCCTTTGTTAGAATAGCCTCAGCGTGGAATACCAAAACTGGAATTCTCCTGCAGCCTCCAGTCCACATGATACATGGATGATCCCTACAACCATGAAAAGGGAGGATGGGGCTTGTTAATTTATAGCTCAAAATTTGAATTAACAGCTAAAGTAGATTATTATGATTTGTTTCTTAGCAACTTTCCACTTCTTTCAGGAACAAGCCCAAATATTCTGTGGGCAATCTCTCATCATCTCCCATTCTTAGCCACAGGTTAAGATTTAACTCTGGTTATTAATGACTAGTTCAGGGAGGAGCACATAAACCAATTAGAGCCCATGAGAAATAAGGAGTCATGCGCTGAGACCCTCTGAGAAAGGAAGGCTTCCTTTTTCTTCCATAGCAACTGTAGGTGGCAGTCTATCTTTCCCTTGCTGGTTTACAATGAGAATGAAAAGTCTAGAAGTGCAGCAGTCACTCTGTGACATCAAGGGGACAGCCTGAAGCTGTCAGTAAAGGAGGGAGTCAGCGGGAGCCTCCAGGAGAAAAGGAAAGAAATGAGGTCGTGGGTAATGAAGCTGGTGTTGCAGAATCGAGCCCTGCTTCAGTATGAGTTAATAAATCCTTTTTGTTATGTAGGATAGTTTGAGTTATATTTTCATTCCTTGACACATAAATGATCCTGATTTATACCCAATAATTTACACTTTGCCTTTTATACACAGTAGTGCCTTTTGACGCGAACTGGATGACCCATCCTAAGATTCTGAGCTAGGAACTCTAGATTAATGTAAGCATCCCAATTAAAATCATACATTTTGGCTGGGTGTAGTGGTGCATGCCTGTAATCTCAGCACTCTGGAGGATGAGGTAGGAGAATTGCCACAAGTCTGAGATCAGCCTGGGCTACACAGTGAGTCCAAGGCCAGCCTGAACTAGATGGTGAGATCCTGTCTCAAAAAAAAGATTCATTCAAAAAAAAATCACATGTTTTGAAGAAAACTATGCTAAATGGAACTATATATGTTTTCCTCCAGTATAAAGCCATAGGGCAAAAAGGGGCTTCCAACTGTATTCTTTCCCTATCCTCGGGAAAACTCAGTTTAAGCCATCTTAGATATTTTCTCACAGATGAGGAAAACCGTCAAGCTCCTTAAGAAAGGGAGGTAGAAAGGAAAAGAAAATTAAATGAAACTGAGTCCCCAGTCTGTGTTGGGCAGCCAGTTAAGTGTGCGGGCAGGTATCTGAACTCAGGATCTGCGCTTGTTCTGCTCTGCAGAATAAACACATTTCTGTAAAGTTCTGTTCACTGAACAACTGAATTTAGCACTCTGAAAATGTAAATTAATTATTTAAATGGAGTAAGATCCATTTAGCCAAATTCACTCCACTCACATGACCACAGCCCTTAACAAAAACCATGCCACAAATCTGAGAGCCAAAAACATATGCTCCCGACCCAACCAAGCTTTAAAAGATCTACCCTCAGGGCCAAGGGATATACCTCAGTGATATAAGTGCCTCTCTGACAAGTGAAAGGTCCTGAGTTCGATTCCCGGTGCCCGCCCTCCCCACCAAAAATTTAAGATACAGCCTCTGAATGCAAAGGAAGGTAGGCTACCACTCTGAGAAGTTAGGCAGCCTTTACGCTCGGGTTGAGCCACTTTTTGGTGAAGCAAAGAACCCTCGACCTCTACTTCATTTCCTGTTTTCCAGAAATGGAACACCGATGTTTATTGTTCTCATTCTTCAATTTTGGCAATATACAATTTTCATTATTTGTGAAAAATGGTGTTTATAGGGTAGAGTTTTAGCAACCAGGGTTTTTTTTGTGTGTGTGTGGTTTGCTTGCTTTTTAATCTTTAATACCTATAAAATGGCCAGATGACTCCTATGATCTCTTCCAAATACAAGTTTTCCACTATTTTTCTGTCAGTGGCTAGAGGACAGGACAAGCATCCTAGGCTACCAAGTCTCAGGCAGAAACTCTGGAAACTCTCCAAAGTTCCTTGTCATTTTAGCACTAGCTACTAGCTGGCACCACTGTGCCTACAAACAATGAATTGTCCCTATGGTCAAAAATGCCTGTTGAGAGACAGGAACACAATGAACAGATATGCAGTGGGAAACAGCGAAGGGCCCTTCTGTACTGTCTGTGGGAATCCACATCCCTGACAAAGGAACCCTTTGCTTACAACCTATAACATATAAAAGGATAGTCATGAAAAAGCACTAAAGGCTTAAGTCATTAAAAGCATGCTCCCACCAGGTGGTGCTAAAGGGAAAAAATGATTTAAAAAGTGAACATACAGACTTCAAATTTTCATTCACATCAGAAATTGCTGTATGTTAAGCAAATCTGCTTTGGAGAGCACGAAAGAATAAAGGACTTGAATGATTAGTTACTGAAGGAGGCCAGTATTTTAGCTCACTCTATATTGAAAGCCAAAGAAAAGTTTGAAGAGCAATTTCATGAGGATTACATCCTCTTCACTCCTGGGAGCAGCCTACACAACTCAACGATGGAGGTGTAAAGCAGCGCATGAATTCCTGCTCCTGGGCCTTCTTTACACCCCTGCCTTCCCCATGTCTGCCTGTCTTCAAGCCTCATTCGAGGCCGCCATACATCTTGCTCTTCTGGCCTGACAATATCCTCCTTCTCTAAATTCCTGCAGCACTCACTGTTTAACTGTTCTGATATAAAACCACCTTTTAAGAAAGAAATTAAAGTTACTAGGGCTTCAAGTACTTAGACCAAGTACTGAGATCAATCACCAGCACTCAAAAAAGTTTTTAAAAAAGGAAGAAATTAAGGTGACTATACTATTTTTTTCAGTGACTAAAGATTTTTGCATCAAATTCTTACTTTGTTTTGGTTTGATCAGGTGTTGCCAGGGGTTAACCCAGAGCCTTGTGCATGCTAGGCAAACACTCTTACCCCTAAACTGTATCTCCAGACTTTTACATCAAATTCATCTATGAAATTTCCATATTTGCACATAAATTTGTATTTAGGACCCCTGACACAAATACAGAACAGCCTTTGTTCATGTACTATTTGAAATAATGCCATCCAAAACAAGGACTGCTTGGACAGTTTCTAAACCTGAAGTACAAAGCAGCAAGGCACTATGCTTTAATATTAAACCCCAGGAATCCAGGAAGAGACAAAGGATGTTTGTGGCTATACATCATTGAGATGATACTTTTTTTTTTTTTAATGGTACTGGAACTTGAACACAGGGCCTCATGCATTCTAGGCAGCACTCAACACTGGGCCACATTCCTAAGCAAAGATATATGGCTTTGGATCAAAGCAATACATTTTTAAAATAAAACATATCTACACATTTTAAGATGACTTAAAATCTTTTAACTTCTAATACTTTTCAAATGTAAGTCACTGCCCCAGATGTGATCAAACTGATTTAAACATTGGAGTATATGAGAGACAAGATGTAAGCTGAGAAGCAAAATTAATAGTTATCAACAGTAGGACTTTGAAAGAAAGAAAAGCAAAAGGCTCATGAATTTGGATAGGGAGGAGGGATACCTTAAAATACATCTACATCTTCACTAAGTTCTATTAGAAATTTAGCATTTCTCAATTATGAATACAAGCAACAAACTTTATCTGTCCACCACCTCTATACCCACAAAGAGAAAATGTTGAAGGGAGCTGGAGATTTAGCTCAGCGGCGTGAGCGCCTGCCTTGCAAGCGTGCAGTCGTGAGTTCCATCCCTGGTACCAAACCAAAAAAAAAGAGAGAGAAAGAGAGAGATAATGCTGAAAATGGAAAAGACTGATGCTTGCAGCAGAAGTTAAAACTTTTTATGAGATGGAAAAAGGCAGCACACTGCAAGCAAAATGGGACAAGTCAAAATAACCAGTGGGAATTAGCCATTTAATTATCCTAAAAGAGAATGACCCAAATAATATTGTCAAATCACTATTATTTTCTATGACCTAACAATGATGAGAAGTCTATTCTCAAAGCTTTATTAATGCCTCCATAACTTTCTTTAAATAAATAATCTTCTACCTTATAAAAAATCTACCATAAATTCAATACTAAAACCAGTAAGAGTTGTACTTTACATTTGTATGGTATGTTATACTTTAAAAAATAATCTCACAAATATTAGTTTATTTGATTCTAACCATGCCCCTACAAAACAGCCAAAGAGATATTATTCTTATTTTTCAGGATGCACATCATGCGCATATCCAAGAGTATCACAGATACATAAAACACGTATATTAACAAAAAACCAGATTCTCTATTTTGTGTCAATAACATTAAAGAAGGCAAAATAGTAGAGTCATTCAAAAGCCAGGAAATCTAAGTCTAAATATCAACCCATCACTCTCTGTAAAGGTCTCTAAGGACATTTCTTGATACTTCTTTTTTATTTTATTTTTGGATTCAGGGTCTTGCTGTGTAGTTTAGGTTGGCCTTGAATTCACTATGGAGCCCAGGCTATCCCTGAACTTGCAGTGATATCCTCCTGTCTCAAGCCTCCCCAGTGCTGGGATTATAGCCATGCACCACCACATCATGATACTTCTAAGAACAAGTTTAGTAAAGTGAGAACAATAACATCTTGAAAACAAGTAAGATATAATAGCTGAATCTTCAGATTAAATGAAGTAGAGTCTATAACAGCTGCACTAATCAGCATCATTCATTTTATTATGAGGGTCAAGCAATCAAGAAAACTGAAAAGAACTCAAGAAAGCACACAGTACACAGCACAGGCTACTGAATTCTAATATCCTCCCCGAAGTTGCCATGGTAACATGATTTCTTTATATTCCCACCATTCTATCATTATAAAGGCTGTTAGAGAAACTAGCATAATATAAATCAACATCACAGAGTCTGGGGAGCTACTTTTCCCCAATATAAAAAAACTTCAAAACCTTCTACAATGGAAATCCTGATCAAGAGACCATCAAGACCTACTGCGTGCATTTTGCATGTAATGTAGTTCACTCATAACTGCAGAAACAGACTCTCACCTCACTTTTGACAGCTAATAGAACCGAGCAATAATATTCTGAATGAGATGTGGATAGAAACTAAAACCAGAATCAGACAATATCAAAGGAAAGATATGATGTATAGGGTAAAAGAATGTATGAAAAAAAGAAGCTCTTTTTCATCCTAATGGCAAAGAACCAAAAGCAAGCTTGCTGGTACTTACTCTTGGCTTACCGCCTCCTCATCCTCTGAGGATGATGCAATTTCCTCCAGGTCCCGGGCCATCACAACTGGCATTTCCTTCAAGGTCTGTCATACAGTCAGCAAACAGGGGCCTCAGAGACCTCTCCTTGCAGATTCACTGGCTCAGACAATTTGGGTGGCACAGATTCCTGCAAGAAAATCAAGTGATCTGAAACACAATGCAGCTCTCTAATCCTTGATTTTGCTGATGATCCTCCAAATAATAGTGTACATATTCCTAAATAGTGCCCAATCTCTAAACGCTTAGCTGTCACAGTGCCTCACATATGACACAAAAATTGAGATCTTTTTAAAACACACCGTCTGTATATATATGAGTTGTTATTAAGTTTGAATTTCTCTTGTGTCCTTTATACACTAGATCTTCCATTAACCAAAAGGATCAACTCCACTTTTAGGGCAGTCTGAGTTAGGAGGCTGAGTCCCTAAAACAGATACCTTGCTAGACAAATCTAACAGGGATTAAAAATGAAAATTTAAACTCAACCTTCAAGACCTTTGCAAATATTTATTAAGACTCTATGACAAGCACACAGGCAAGATGCCATTTTGTTTCTAGTCAAACCAATTCAACTAAACTAAAATATTAGTAAATATATTTCCCCTATTCAAGGGTCATATAGCTGCGGGGGGGTGGGGGTGGGGGCAATGCCCTTCCACATATCTTAATAATTATTCTCCCTTAGTAAAAATCACAAGCAGCTAACTAAACCTTAAATATACATTAAAATTAGAAAACTTCCAACACAATATTTTTAACAAAGTATCTTTCCATAGGAAAAAAGTACATGTTCGTTGAAATAAAACTACACATACTGTAATGAAAATGTTTAAATGATCATAATCCCATTACTCTGAGATAATTATTTCACATCAACCTCTCTAAACTTTATTATTCTATTAACCATATTTACATTATGATTATAAAACAAAAAACACCGATCCTGATAAAGAGCCCTACAGAGCTTCAGCGGAAATATTACAGTATCAAAAACCTCAATGACTCTCTTCGGGGGACTCACAAGAGGATTTCCCAATCTTCCCAAAATATTAAGTCCTTTAACTTATCAACAAAGCCCGCAAGCGAGGAAGGGATGCTAGCCTTTCCTAGTCTCCCTACATAGAGAAGAGAGACTTGGCTCTTGGAAGATTAAAGACGTTCGCCTAATGGGAGCTCTTGTCCTACGGGGACAAGACCTCAGCACCACGCCCAGCTCACCCCTAATCCCAGACAGGTCTGCAGAGGTTCCCCTCGGGAAGGACGCAGCGACTCTGCTGCAGCGATTCAGCCTGGCGCGCCCGGAAGCTAACAGCTGCTCCGGGACTCTAGGAGGGAAGTGCAGGGCGCCCGCCCAGAACCAAGAGCGAACTTCCCTCCGGTAGGGGAGCGCGCGGGCGCAAGGATTTACCTGTCTCATCTTCCCATGGCCGGGGGCGGGCAGGCGGGGACCAGGCTCTGCGCCTACCTCCCTCCTCCTTCCCCAGCCAGGCTCACAGCAGCCGCCGACTGCTGCTTCCCCCGTTACTACAACAACCAACAAGCAACCGCCCGCTCGGAGCCACTGCGCAGGCGCACACCACCCGGCTCGGACCACATTGGGCCGCGGGCGCGGATAGATGTCGTCATCGCGGCGCGGCGCAGGCACAGAGCCCTGCCCACGGCAGAAGGGAATGTTAGCTTCTTTTATCTGCTCTTTTTTTTCTCCCCCACTAAAAGGTTGCCTCCAAACCTAGAGTTCCGCTACGCTCAACGAGAGAGTGTAGTGCGTGGGCGGCGAGCCGCGGAGAGATTTAGAAAGCGGCAAACGCTGATTGGCAGCAAAGGGGTTCACTCCCCATCTCCTGCTCAAGCAAAACCGGCACAGCCAATCAGAGAAAGAGCTTCTGGGAACGACCCAATCCTAGAGCGGAGTTGAGAGCGGGGGCGGAGACAAATGGCTCAGGTGGACCCTGGTCTGGAGCTGTCCTGGGGTAGCTTGTTTGCTGCTGCTGTGGTGCTGGGGGTCGGATCACCAGGTAGGTTTTAGAGAAGGATGTAGATGTGTATGTCCTAGCTGATTGAGAGAATCTGGGGAATCTGGAAATATTGGGTTTATCTCAGAGGCTACAAAGAGGACTTCGAGGGGCCAGGACCGGAGGGAGTTACGGTAGGGCTTAGTGAATTCCGGGAACGAAAGAATGTATGAACAAATGGGCAGAACAGATTGTGAGCCTAGCGCTGTGCGAGAGGCCTGCAATTTTTCTCATGCAGTTCCTGTGATCCTAGGGGGAATTAGGTGTACCCCCATTTTGCAGATTAGGTTGCAAAAGGTAAATTACTTGCCCAGACTCACATAGCTGCCCAATAGTAGAGCCAGGGTAATAGGGTTGAGGAATTGGCAGAAGCTATTTAAAAAGGCTCAGGTTGCCTGCTGGGATATGTAACTCTCGCTGGAAAGTAGGGTGGTGGGTGTATGAGGCAACCATGCAGCTTTTCCAACCTAGAGGCAATCTGATCGCCTATTGAGATAAAAAGGAAAGATGGATTATGGCCCAGGCAGTGACTGCAATGTCTAATGGACCCCTGTTCTCTCTTGATTTGAACAGAGGCTACCCCTCCTGATCCATGCTTACCTGAGGGGTTTGTCAGTTCACCCTATCTCCTCCAGAGCTCTTTTTCAGTTGAGTTTTGATGTTTCAAACTGTCTTGGGTCATTGCTGACTTTAGTTACTACCTTTCAGTACGGTATGGAACTGTACTGAAACTTCTATTCCAGACAGGCAAAAGAAGCCTAATAGTTGATAAGCACTTTGGATTCAAGAAGTGAATCTGACAACAGAGAATACACCGTGGGCCTACCGGTCGTGGTGGTGATGGGAGAAGCATGTTCTTTATCTAAATAGGATTCACTTAAATTGATTGGAATCATTACTCAGTGAAGGTTGATCTAAACTTTAAAAAAAAAAAAACTAACCTAATTGTACTTTTCATACAATTTGAAGATAAAGTGATAATGATACGCTTATCTTCCTCAAAAATAGGAACTTCATTAAAACATTATCAGTGAGGTAGTATTGCAATATATAGAGTCCAACAAATGATGGTTCTGCCTTAATTCTATCATATATTAGCAAAACAACCTCAAGATAATCACTTAGCCTCTCTGTCCAACTCTCTTATAAATACTAGTAGTATCTGCCTACTTTGTAAGGGTTAATTGAGATAATAATATGCCAGGTGGCATAGTGAGTAGTGGATGTGCCCAATAATAAATGCCTATTGTTATTTTCTTGGTGTTGCAACCCATACCAAGATTGTTGATATAATCTGTTTCGAAAGTCACAGCAGTTTATTTATTTTTAGCTTTTAGGTTTTTCTAGTTTTTGAAGCATGATGTATCTGAAGAACAGAGAAAACCCAAAGATATAAATGATGCATCACACCATAGGTTTTACAAATGTATAAGGCCTCATAGCATTGGAAGGGTCTGTAGTCAATAACCAGACAGGGATCTGTGAGTATATTTATAGCCATTTTTAAAATGGGTGTGAGGGCATCCACCTATAGTCCCAGCACTCTGGGAGGATGAGAGAGAAAGATTACAAACTCAAGACCAGTTTGGACAACTTAGTGAAACTTTGTCAGGGAAAAAAAAATGGGAATATTTCCCAGCGTAAGGCCTTGGGTTTGATCCCCAGTACTCTGAAAAGAAAGAGAAAGAAAGAAAGGGGGGGAGGGGAGGGAGGGGAGAGCAGGGGAGGAGAGAGGAGAGAGAGGAAAATAGGACCTCTTTCAGTCACTTGCAAAAAGGCAAAGATAGGGCTGGGGATTTAGCTCAGCAGCATAAGCACCTGCCTGGCAAGGATGAGGTCGCAAGTTCAATCCCCGGTATATAAAAAAAACAAAAAAGTCCAACAAAAGCAAAGACAGAGATACTAGAGCACTGATTCTACCCGAGAGAAAAGAGTTATCATTTAGGGTAATATACTATATTTTGGAGAATTACTCGGACAATGGTAAGTATTATGCTACAGACTACGGTGTTTACTATTCATCACCACTATTAGTGAGACTTAAGTATTGAGACCAATTTCCATAAGCCTTACACAGAATTCCATTCTACTGCTTTATAGTGATATCTGTACACCTTTTTTTCTGCTGTTCCCTTTCTTTTCTTTACTTTTTCCCCACCGTATTTGTCATTTCCACCTTTGTCACTCTGAGTGGAGGAAGGTTCACTACACTTCAGTGTAGGTTAAATATTCCCTGGCAGAAAGTTAGCTCTGTGAAGCAAGAGAGAGGTATGTTTAGCTAGGTTATTCAGGAACCTAAGATAAGAACACTGCAAATTTGAGGCAAACCCAGGCATGTTAGTATGACCTTATCTCAAAAAAAAAAAAAAGTAGTATGTCAGGAAAATTGAGAATGGATGGGCCTAAGGGCTTGGAAAGAATTCATAAATGATTGGCCAATTAAGCTTAGTAAAGCCTCAGTAAATGGGGCACAGGTTGACAGTCTAGCGAGAGAGCTTCTGGTTAAAAGGTACTATTTGCATTGTCATGCATGTTCTGCCTTTGTTTCCAAGGCAAACACCCTTGGAGGTGGGGGTCATCATGAGCCGTTTCCTGAATGTGTTACGAAGCTGGCTGGTCATGGTGTCCATCATAGCCATGGGGAACACGCTCCAGAGCTTCCGAGACCACTCCTTCCTCTATGAAAAGCTCTACACTGGCAAACCCAACCTTGGTAAGAAACCAAAGAACTGCATCCTATTTAGGAGTGACCAGTTTCCCTCTCAGGGAAGTAAGTATTGAGCCTAGGAGGGACCAGAAATCTAATTTTTAAAACCTTCAGGTGATTCTGAGGCTGCCTAATCTGGCCTTTGATACCACAGGGGTATCAGGCTTTGTGAAGATCACTTACCCTTTCCTCACAAGCTTCTCTAGATAGCTGTTCATCCATTTCACACTGCCCCGGACAGGTAATGTGTGCAAAAGATGGTTTAAGGAGAGGGAGCCCTCATTCAGTGACTCTGAGGTGCCTGACTAGAAAAGGCTATAAAGAAGCTTTTAATAGTATCTCCAAGCCCCTTCAGAAATCAGGTCATGGCACACATGGTTTATGTCCACATTATAGATGGACAGTTACTAATCTCAGTCTTCCCAAACCATGATGGAATCCCACAGCAGATACACAAATCCTTCCAAGTTGGTCTCCCACAGTGAACCCTCTGAATGCACACAGCGACCTTTTCTGTCTACCCGACCTCTCTGCCAGGTGTATTTACACAACGGCACGCTCTTCATTTTGCTTTTGTGGGACACTTTGAGCTGCAGTGCTGTTTCATTGTGGCTGACAGTTCTCTGTCACATTTATAGCTAACCCAGATTCAGAATCTGACCTAGCTCACTTTTTTTGCAACATCTGAGTATAAAGTGAAATTAAGTAGGCTAAGGCTTATTTTGAACACAGGAGTATATAGCAATCAAATATAACAGGATATATTATATCAAATATAACAGGAGTGAAAAACCTGGAAAAATGAATAGGAAAATTCCCCCCCTCAAGTCCCGCCCTCAGATTGTCCTAGAACCTTGTATATGTACACAGGATTTTAAAAATTATCTGATCTGGCCCTTTGCAGACTGAGAACTGGAGTTTGGTGGCACTAGCTTGTAATCCTAGCACTTGGGAAGCAGAGGCAGGAGGATTGCCATAAATTCCAGGGCAGCCTGGGCCACATAGTTTAAGGCCAGCCTACACTATAATGGGAGACCTTGTCCCAAAAAACAAAAGAGAAAAAAAGAAAAAAAAATTAAGATCTGCTATGTACATGTACCAACTGTGCATAAGAAGTACAATCATTTTGTACTATAAACATGTACCAATAAAAAAAGAATCTTGAGACAGAGAAGCCCACAGGCCATAGGACTTGCTGTAAAGCCTTTCCATCAAAAAACTGTCCATGTGATTTTAAAGAATGTAGCCGTCCAGAACTAATACACATATTTGGTTGGCATCTGTAATTTTTTTTCTCACTACCATCCGAAAGTCTTCATTGCTGTGATTGATAGAGCTATCTGGTTTTCCAAAGGCCAGACTATCCTTAAAGTCCAGGTACACATTAAAAGATCTTTCAGTTGTCAGTCTTGGACAAGCCAGCAGAGAACATACCACTGCTTTCACTGTTTTGGCATTTCCAAGCCACTGACTACCTTAAGTCACCCAGCAGAGAGTTTCTAGAAAATGTTTACACCAGGGCCAACTCCAGACAGCATAATGTAATTGGGTCAGTACTCAGGCCTTAGTAGTTTTTAAAAACTCCCTTAGTTGATTGTAGTAAGTGTCCAGGGTCTAGTTATGGTGGGATATGTCCCTTACTTTCAGGAAAAGATGTTTAACACAGCAATATCAGAATAATGCCACCAAGAACAGAGTTTCTCCCAGAGAACCCCAAAGAGATAGAACTACAGAGTGTGTCTTGATCACACTCTCTAGGTTTCCAGGAACAGGCAATGTAAGCTGGGAGTTATTTGCCTAAGTGGGTGCTTTGCTGGGTTTTGAGATGTAGACATCTGAAGAGGATTGGAACAGCTCTCCTGGAATTTCCTTCCATTCCGCCTAGTCCCCTGGTGCAGTACCAGAGCCTCTGTTTTGCCAAGCCATGGGGAGGTCAGGCTCAACTACCTCCTGTGAACCCCTCATGAAGTAGGAAGAGATGGAAGGCGCTCCAGCCCTCCCCTTCTCAACACTCCTGATTTTTCTACTACACAGTGAATGGCCTCCAAGCCCGGACCTTTGGGATCTGGACCTTGCTCTCATCAGTGATTCGCTGCCTCTGTGCCATTGACATCCACAACAAGACGTATGTAAGGGAAGGAAGAACTTCAGCATCCTTTTGTGGGAACTGGGTCCTCCCTTAGCCTAACATGTAGGTAATAAAAGACCAATAGACTCCATTCCTTCCGGGCCTAAAAAACATAATATAGACATAACAAGTCTTCCGAATCTGAATTCCTTTGGTACTGACATAGCAAACTGCAGTAGTCTGCATCATCTCCCCACTCCCCCCAATTTCACTACTAAAGAATAAGCCTTTCAGTCAGATGTCATGGTGCACACCTGTAATCCCAGTACTCAGGAGGATCAAGAGTCCAAGGTCAGCCTAGGCTACATAGGGAGGCATGGTCTCAAAACAGAAAAGGAAAGAGAAAAAAAGATTTAAAAAAAATCAGTCTTTCTTCTGTTACAGTAGTAGAGCAGTGTGTTCTTTTTAGCTTCAGTTATTTTTTGTTTTGTGGTGCTGGGGACAACCTGGGGCCTTGTGCATGGCAGGCAGGCACTGTACCCCTGAGCTACATCCCCAACCCTGGCATGTGTTTTTTAGAACAGTCACCCACACATGTGTTTCTTACATTTCTCCTCAGAAACAAGAGTGAACACAAATCAAATCCATGAGAAAAGGACCTAACAAGGAAGCTGATGTCTGCTCAGGCAGAGTCAGTAGGTGAAGGGAGCTAAGTGTGCTGTCTCTGCCTGGAGTAAGTCAGCTGGAAGGACTCTAGGCAGTGATCGCCTCCTGCCTAAATAATGCCATATCCTATTCTGGCCACTGGAGGGGGTGAAAGCTTTCAACCAAGCAGTGATCATCACAAGCTAGGGGGAAACAGTGCACAGTCCACCGGGTGAGATTCAAAATGCCAACCTCACACCAAAGGAGTTTTGTCTCACACAAGCTCTCAGCAGCTAGAGAAAAGAGGAGGCAGTAATACCCACAGAGCCCCTCTAATCGTGTCAGGAGCCTTCGCCTCCATGACCTTGATTAAGCCTCCTTCTAGCAGGCCTAGGAGGTAGTGGTTTTCATTCCAGATTTTGTAGATCTAAATCTTAGAGACCCAATTAATGTAAACTGAAGAAGTCAGACTCAAGTGGGATTTGAAGCAAGACTATTAGCCCTCTAATCTCTCCCACTTTAATTTTTTTTTTAAACTTGAAACTGTGGTTTACTCGCCCTAAATTGACACATGTTTTTGGAAGCAGTATGCTTTAGTAGAAACAGCCTGGGCCAAGAACAAAAACAAGAAAATGCCTGTTTGGTCTGTTTTAGTTTGGTAATTAGCTTCATAGCAACAAGTTCATTATTTACTTTGTCTGCAAGTTTATCTGCAAGTTGGTCTGCTTATCTATAAAATGATAAAGATGGCTGCTCTGTCTCAGGGTGACTAAGAGGAGGACTAAGTAATCATTTTAAAGACCTTTGCCACAGCAAGGAATTGCTGATAGTCTAAGGAATGCACCTTCGCTTTGCTGGGCTTTGCGCTAAGCAGAGGTGATTCACACTTGGCCTTACCTCTCCTAGCCATTGGCTTTTCCCTTTACCCAACAGAGGGCAACCACAAATGCTGACTTGCTCCTTCCAGCCCTTCCAGCCTAGGACTTTGATCTAGGCACTTCCGGCGTGTACTGTGATCTTATTCCCCACCCCCACCAGTGTGAAAACCAAAAGCAACACACATGCATCCTTGTTAAAACATGCTTCAGAATAATAAAGCCATTTACTTCTGGGGAAGAAGGGTGGAGATCAAGACAGGACAGTGGTACACAGGATGCTTTAACTGTTATCTGTAAAACTTATTTTTCTGAGATAAGGTCTCACTATGTAGTTCAGGCTCGCCTCAAATTCATGGCAGTCCTCCTGCCTCAGCCTCCTGCTTACAGGCACATTACAACCACATCTGACACTGTATTTCTTTGTCATATTTTACTTAGAAGAAAAATGAACAAAAATGTCTAAGTGCTAAGATTAGACAGAGCTGGATACTGACTACCTTTGGGTCATTATAATACCACTTTTTATATGTTTAATTTTTTTTTGAGACAGGGTCTCGCTATGCAGTTCAGGCTGGCCTTGAGCTCAGTTTGTAGCCCAGGCTAGTCTCGAACTCGCAGGAATCCTCCTGCCTCAGCCTCCCGAGTGCTGGGATTACAGGTGTGAGCCACCATCCTCAGCTCGATTTATGTGTTTAAATTTTTTTAATTTCAGTTTAGAAAAATGTCACAAGCTGTGCATAGTGATGCACACCTGTAATCCCAGCACTCTGAAGGTTGAGGCAGGAGGATCTCTTAGTTCAAGGTCAGTTTGGGTTGTAAGAATAAGACTTTTTTTTTTTATTGGTACTGGGGATCGAACTCATAACCATACGCTTGCAAGGCAGGTGTTTATGCCGCTGAGCTAAATCCCCAGCCCAATAAGACTTCTGACTCAAAAAAAAAAGGAAGAAAGAAAAATGTTATCAGCAACCCAGATGATAGCCAGTAACCTCTCTTCTATGTCACAGTCAAAGCTGAGGAACAAGTTTGAATTCTCATCCTGTGACATTGTTACCATGCCCACCACCTGAGCACCTTTCTAAGGCTAAGACACAGAATAACTCACCTGTGCTACCAGAGCCTCTCGAAGCCCCCGAGAAGCCATCCACCTTACTCTCTATTCAAGACATCCATCCTGTGGCTTCTGTCATAGAAACACTGGCTGCATGTGGGCAGCCACCAGTTTGCACAGGTCTGCCAGCTGCACAAGAGGAGTCTGCACAGCTGACCCTGAGTTGTCTGCACTGCCTCGGATTACCCAAGTCCAGACTCCACACGGCCCTGGCAAGGTTCTCTACCCGGCCAAGACTCAGAGGCCCCATCTGGGTTCCTGGACCAGATAGCCTCCAAAGTCTTTAGTTTTGCCCTAGATGACAGAGTGATCTGATCAAACAGCCAGGTGCTTTCCTGAACAATTGTGCTTTCCTTTAGGCCACAATCATCACTCGTGGGTATCAGACAGATCTCCCTTTCTGCCCCGTCTGTACTGAACGAGCAGTAACTCTCGTTCTGTTTCTGATGCCCTCTTAGGCTCTACCATATCACGCTCTGGACCTTCTTCCTCGCTCTGGGCCACTTCCTCTCTGAGTTGCTCGTGTTCGGAACTGCAGCTCCCACAATTGGCGTCCTGGCACCCCTGATGGTGGCAAGTAAGCACCCCAACCACCCCAGACCTGCAGCAGCTGGCCCAGCACTGAGGCTGTCCAGGAATCTAGGAAAGAGGCTGAGTTTGTGTCCACCAGTCATCTTTTCTGTGTGTTTAAGGTTTCTCAATCCTGGGCATGCTGGTCGGGCTCCGGTACCTGGAAGTGGAGCCAGTATCCAGACAGAAGAAGAGGAACTGAGGCCAGCATCACCACCTCCAAGACGCCGTCATCTTCCATCTCTGCTTCTTCCTTCATCCTGTCTTCTTTTTTGGCTCCATCTCAGCCCCTTTACCATTTTTAGCTTCTGTAAATTTTTCTGGTTTTATTTTTGATTTTATCATTTTTAAGGTATGTCCTGCACACAGAAAAGCACATCACATACCCGGATGATTTACAGATAATTTTAGAGTGGATACTCTTCTCTAACACCATCTAGTCGAGAAATTGCCATACCTCAGAAGCTCAATGAGTTCTTCCTCCATCCCCGACCGCCCTACCCTCTGGGTTCCCTTTTCCAAAAGGCTTCGGCTGGTTTTCCTTTTATTTACATTCCTTGATTTGATTTGTGTGCCAGGAACATGGAACTGTGAAACTTAAAGCTGCTGGCCACCCCAAGCAGCTATGACAAGGGCTGCTTCCTGGTGTCATCCACATGCATTGGGCTCCTTTCTGCTGCCAGAACCAAGACTCGGAACCAGAGCTGTGCTGGGGGCAGGAGAGGCAGTGCTTCCAAGGAGGCTCAGGCAGAACCAGAGCTCCTCTGACCAACAGACAGAGGAGCGCTGGGAGAGTCCAGGCCATTTTTAGACCTTCTAGTCAGCTGTTATTGTGTAACAGATTTTATAATAAAAAAAAATTCTCCTGTGCTCAGTCCTTGTACTTTGACATCCTCTCAGACAAGACCAGCCTGCTCCTTCCTGAGCCTGGGGTAAGAAGGTCACAGCTTTCTGTCTGCTCAGATTCACTGCTTCAGGACAGCTCAAGAGTCAGGTAAGCCCAGCAGCTGCCCCCACGCCACCTAGTTCCTTATTGTCAGTTACTTTCACACCCTCTCTCTCCACACCTTCCCCCCTGGTATGCGGGATTGAATCAGAGCTTTTGTACTGAGCTACATCCCTAGCCTGTGCTGTCTTTATCTAGAAACAAGTTGCTGATACTGGTCTCACACCTGCAGTCCTTCTGTATCAGCCTCCTAGAGTGCTGGAATTACAGGCATGTGCCACCACGCTGAGCTGCCTATATTCTTCAAGTCAAATCTTACTCTCCAGTCTTCAAAATTCTAAGTTCACAGCTCAACATCAGGACCCTTTCTTATTTTCTAGCTGAAGAAATGGATTCTTAGGGATGCCTAAGCAGAAAACAGAATTAGCATAGAACAGCTGCGTGAGGGTGAAAGGGAGCCAACAAGACCCCAAGGGTGATCCCTGGAGGAAGCAGCTTCTCTCTGCACACGCCAGGATGACTCTTCCTGGCTGGCCTGCGCTCATGGTGCATGTACTGGAAAGGCCACTTATTATTTATTATTTCAGCAAGTGTTTATTCATATTTCTCAATACCAGACACTTGAGAAAGAAAAACCAGTAAGACAGGCAAACCCAGCTTTTATGGTGGTTATACTGTAGTCAAGGCAGTAGAATCCACAAGTGAGCCGTAAAAGAACTTCCAATAAGAAGACAAACCCTATAGAAAACCAGATATTTTGAACAAGAGGAAGGAAGTAAAGGATATGGAGGAATCAGAAACCTCGCCCTCAGGTGGTGGGATTTTAGTGACACTTGAAAGCTCTGTCGGCAGATGTCTTGACACGTGAAGTAGGCACTTCCCCATTTAAGTTGCAAGCAGCAACTTATAGCAGAGTCTTGTCCGTGGAGTGAATTAAGTATCACTAGTGCATGAAAAAGAGGAAGTGAAAGAGGCAGAGGCTGGCAAGAGGATGACAATCAAGCAAAATTTATACTTAAATACACTAGAACAACCTCAGGAGTGCTAGAGACAACCCAGGGCCTTGCACATTTTAGGCAAGCTTTCTATCACTGAACTACGTTCCCAGCCCGTCTGTCAGCTCTTCAGGTAAAAGGAACAAAATCTACCTTACACAGTAAAGAAAACATGGCTGACACAACCAAGGAGTTCTGAGAGTCCCAGCCTTCAGGAATTGTTTGATTTGAACACCAGCTCTGGTTCAGCTTTGCCTGCCTGGCATGGCTTCATCCTCAGGCTCCTTTATGGTGCCAAACAGGGCACAGCGGTTCCAGACTGCAAACCCCCACAGTACTGGCTCTAGAAAAAGAGCTTCAAGGTAAGATCGCTGTCACTGTTGAAAGGAGGCAGTAAAAGAAGCAGTGGTCTTACAGAGTTTACATTTGAGTGCAAATCCACCTGGAAGCCACCTATAAGAACCGAAGTATAAAATGTAGCCCTCTAAGAATGGATCTAAAGGGAGTATACGGAGAGCCATTAGCCTTAACAGCCCAGGCTTGAGTTTGAGTCCCTCCCCAGCTGATTTAAAGTACAATGGAGTTAGCCCAGCATGGTTGCTCAGGCCTGTAATCCCAGCACTTGGGAGGCTGAGGCAGGAGGATAGTCTTGAGTTTGAGACCAGCCTGGGCTACAAAGTGAGCTCAAGGCCAGGCTGAACTGCATAGCAAGACCCTGTGTCAAAAAGACGAAAAAAAAAATGGGATGAGATAAAAAGAATTAAAATGTGTTATTAGGTTGTGGTGTTGCGTACCCATAACCCCAGCACTCAAGAGACTGATGCAAGAGGATCATCAAGAGTTTGAGAACACTGTAGGCTACATAGTGAGTGTACGGCCAGCCCGAAATGCACAGTGACACTGTCAAAAAAGAAAAGAAAAAAGATATGCACACATGCCAACACCCCATAGTGAATGTAATTATGTATTGCAAGCATGTACTAATAAAAATCTGAAATACATGAAGTAGGATCAGGCTGTCTAGCTACTGCTGATTACTGCAACTAAGACTTGCTAGTAAATGGTGTAGAATGCCACAGACATAGTGCAGCTCTAGGGAAGAAATGTACAGGAAACAGATGGAAGTAGCCTATCCAGGTCCCAAGTGTAAGGTGGGCACCATGGGGGTGGCAGGGGTGGCAGTAAGTGGGCAGTGCAGAAGGAAATCCGGGCAAGTAGGACTGCGGATGCCGGGGGCCAAGCTGTGGACTCTGGCCAGAGCAAGCTGGTGTGACTTGGATAATCGCAGGACAAACACTTCGGCCACCCTTTGAGGCAGAGCCAGAAACAACAGTGAGCTGTCTTGCCAGCAGTCGCATTCCCGTGTGGACACAATGGGGGAAGAGGCCAGGGTCACTTGGTGGTCACTGAGTTGCAGTATTGCATATAAGCAGACAGAAATCTTTACATCTTTAGTTTTTATTCATTTATCTTTTGAGACAGGGCTTCCCTCTTTAGCTCAGATTGGCCTCAATAATCCTGCCTCAGCCTCCCCAATAGAGCTGGGACTGTAGGTCTTTAAAAATAAAACACTTGTGTCTGCAGAAGACATAGATCCTCCTGTGCAAGGCTGCCGCTGCTGCTCCTCTGGCCTGGGTCACCACCCCCCACCCCAGCCTCCCCCATACATCCCAAAGCCCTCAGAAACACATGAGACCCTCACGGGACTGCCACCAGCTGCTGCCGCCCCGCCAAATGACCGTGCAGACAACTTCAAGAACTCTTTATTGTCTCAAAAAATGGTATCACAAACAGAAAATACAACTTACATATTGAAAATAAAGCCATGAATTCAGTAAACATGCTGTTAACACATTCTGAGGGGCTGAAGAACAAACACCGGTCTCCTGTTAAAAATAAGGCATTTCTCCCTTCTCCAACACTCCCATCACTGTAAGAGTAGACTTCTATTACATACACAGCTTCACATCCCTTGCTTGGCTCTGTACACAAATACACACATGTGGTCCCTTCAGGTCCAACAGTAGCACCCAGCCAGCCCAGGCTGCTATGATACACTGAGGCTCAGACTGTGGCCAAAACTGGATAGCACGGTGATTCATGTCCACAGCTGCTCAACACAGGGAAATAACTAAACTCCTCTTGCTTCAGGAGATACTACTAAAGCCCATGTGAAGAGCCAGGCAGCAGCCAGGTAGGCAAGGAGGTCAGCTTGAACTGGATATTTAAAACTGGATATTTAAATGCAGACTATCTGATAGAGACTTCACTAGCAGGAGGTAGGGGGTGCGAGTGTGTGCAAATGTTATCTATCCCCACCCAAGGTGGGATATGTTCCATCAAACAGACACAATGCCCATTTCAAGAAGCACCTTTCCTGCTACCCCTGTCCTCCCATCTCTCAGAAGCAGCCTTGGACTTGTCAGAGCAGAATGATGGTGATTTCATTTTCAGTGAAGTTTACAGTGCAGTTGGCTGTGATTTCTCCCTTGAGATAAAACACATGCTTAGGTGATAACAGTGTCCTAGTGCAGAGTCCAGGATGAGGGTGCACAGAGTGGCCAAGGACACACTGAAGTACCTGGACAGGAACTTCTTTTGTAGGAAAACTATCTTTTCATCCCAACTCAAGATAGTTCACCTTCCCAAATCAGTTCCTTCGTTATGGCTGCAACAAAACATTGGTCAAATTTATCAATGTTTGGTCTGATCAACTCATAGGAGAATTTGGAGATAGATCCCATCATTAGACAGATCCCAGCGGGAGTCAAGAGTCCTCATGGAGTTGCCCTGTGGGGCTGCTCTGATGCAGGTTGTCAAACAGTCCCTCTGATGACCCAGTAATGACCCTCAGGCAAAGCAGCTTTTCTCTCCTTAGAAAGAACTGGGCTTCTCGTGAAGCTTTAAGTCACTAGAAAAGTTCACATCCTGAATAAGCTTTCTTCCCTTGATAACTTTGCAAGCATTCTCCATGAGGGTGAAGGTGATGATGGAAGGCAAGGAGAAAAGACCAGAAGACTCCAGGACCTTCCACCATCCTCTCCCAACACCACCAGCCATGAGCTTTCCCAAAGGTGAAGGGGGTGGGAATCCAGTCTGTGTTTGATGACTGGATGTCGAAGATGTCATCGAGCTCTCCAGGGATTGCCAGAGGCCGAGGCACCACTATGCGAGCCATAAATATTTTCAGCTGGTGCCCTCCAAAAGCTTCTCCGATGAAGACCTGTGCACTGGCAGTGAGAGCTGAGCTGAGTGAAGAGGTGGAATGTTCGTGTTCCCTGAGTCACTGCCACCTCTCCCTGTCAGAAATGAACCTCTGATATGACAGTGGGTGCCTTCCTGGTGTTGCTGTCCTCCTCCTCGTGGGCTTTCTGGAAGGCAAAGCAGGCAGGCAGCCCGTGGGTAAAAGGCACAGGACTCCGCCCCAGCTGGAGCAACTGCCTGGCCCTAACTCCAATCAGCAGGCCAGAGCCAGGGGCCATTCATTATCCACAAGAGCAAGGACAGCCAGCCAGACAGCAGCCCCTGGCCTGTGCCTAAGTGCACTCCCCAAGCACTGCTCCCCACCAGAGCCACTCATCCAAGGCAAAAAGGCCACTTCCTATTGCATCACAACAACCACAAAGCAGCCCACTCAGAAGACATCAACCCAAGCTCAACTGGTTGGAAGCAGAAGAAAAGCCCACTTTCCCTCCTCATTCTGAGGCTAAGAAATCACTTCCACACAATTTTGTTTTGTTTTTGAGACAGGGTCTCACTGTGTAGTCCAGACTGGCTTGAGCTCACTATGTAGCCCAGGCCGGCCTGGAACTCACAGTAATCCTCCTACCTCTGCCTCCCGAGTGCTGGGCTTCCAGGTTTGCACCATGCCGAGCTATAAAGAGAATTTTTTAAAGGCCACATGCATAACTGCATATATCAACTTAAATGCAATATATCCATACTTTATGCAGAGGAAAAAAGCCTTCAAGTTAGTTTGGCCTTGGCTTCCTCAGGAAGGGGCAACACAGGAGGGGCCTCCCAGTCACACTTGTCAGGTGATTTTAGAGTTAGATACAGCCTAGAAATTACCCTGTGAGGTCCTTGGCACATACTGTCAACTTGGGTGTTTGCCTGCTGTTTTAAGAAGTACTTTGCCTGTTCCCATGAAGTATCTTCTAATTAGTAAGGAGGCACAGTCCTGGCTCTGCACAGCCAGCACCACTTCAGGAACATGTGTAGGGCCAGGCTAGAGGCCAGCCGACAAATGATGCTTTCTTCCCCAGGAGCGTCTCATGGCCAGGCTATAGCAAGAGCAAAAGCTGCAGAAATACAGCCTTCCCCACTTTAGGCTTGATAACCTTTGCGCTACAGTCAGCCCCAGACAAAAGGAATCTTCATTCAAGCAGCTGACAGGTAAGTGACTCAGCCTCTCCATGCGCACATGCACCCATGCATGCGTACGTGCCTGCCACCCCAAAGCCATTGCCTTGAAATCACAATCAGAGATAGAGGTCAGAATGGATGAAAACGCAGCTGCTGTCTATATGCTGGAAGAAAACCCAAACTGTAATTTTCATAGTCAAGGTCAGTTGTGACTCCTGCCTCTGTTTCCTTTTAGCCAACCTGTACATCTCCCTGATGTGCAGGAAGACAGATCCGGCTAGATCTGCTGCATGCTCTGTCTTCGTCTGGCTCTGACAGTGCATTTGTCTTCAGGTCTCTGAGTTACACTGACCACCATGGGCGTAGAATGACAGGGCTCCAGAAGAGGGATGCTCTGGGACAGCCATAGTTTCCCCGGTGGCAGCCCTGGCCCGACACTGATTTTCTCTTAATACTAAGTAGCTTCACAGGCAGTGAGGCCCAGACATGCACAGAGCATTAGCCAGGGCCACAGGACAGTCGAGCTCCTCTACTGCAATGTTAGGGTCCTGTTTACACCCAGTGTTACTCTAATATCCCATAGTCAAGGAGACTGAGCCAGAAACGCCAGCCCGCTCTGATTAGCAAACCCGGGCTATGTGCACAAGGCTCTGGCTGCAAGAATAGTGAAATACTAGAACAACTGCAATGCTATAGAGGAGAAGAGAGATATAGATATGGATACATGTGGAAAGAGAGAGAGAGGGAGAGAGAGATAAAACTGAGAGTGTGATTTTATTTGCTACATTAAGCAAATATACAGGGTAGAAAATAAAACACATATAAGCATACCCATAGGTTACAGCATTGGAAAATGGACTAAGAAGCTCCTAGGGTACTTTTAGGAAGTAGAATTATATTTGACTTCTATTGTTTTCCTGTTTGCCTGTATCTACCAGCATAAACATAGATTATAAAGCAAACCTGGCAAAACCTCATGTTGCTTGGTATAGTACATCACAAGCTCAACTGGAAACTTCTCACCTTCCAGTGTGTCAGTAACGACAATTGGCAAAAACCTGAACACTCAGACAAGAAAACTATTAAACAAACCATGACTTATCCACATAAGGGAACACTATGCAGTCATTAAAGATACATTGCGGAAGTCTAACAGCATGATAATGTTTGTAGTAAGTTTTAAAAAGATAAGGAGATTCTATTTTTGCTTTAAAACATATACTATGTATATGTAGGCATAGGTAAGCATAAATTAATATAAAATAATAGCATCTCTAGATAATGGAAATTGTAGGATGATTTTTTTAAGCTTTATATTTACTATGTTTTTTCCTACAAAGAATATACACTATTTCATAATAAATTTGTTAGTTTTATTTTATGTTTTAGTAAGAAATATCCTACTTTCACACCTTCTTTGAGTTGCAATTCTTTTTACCCTTGTTCAGCTATGAGTCCTTTTCCCTTCTCCCTGTCTCCCCCAACATCTTCTGCTGGAGATCAAACCTAGGGCCTCGCATAAACTAGGCAAGGGTTCACCCACTGAATAACACCCCAGCCCCTCGCTCAGACTGAGCCTTAACATTTTGGTTCCCAGCTGATTAGAGCATATGGGAAACATTTTTCAGTTTGAGATCATATTCCTGGTACTCTCTCCACGTTGCCATCACCGTCTCCTTCCTGACTTGGCCTTTTAGAGCCCTACTGGCAGCACACTGGCTCCATCCCCATCGCGCTATGTAAGGGCTGTCACATGCCAAGAGAGCCACTGACAGACTCCACCCCAGGTGGACAACAGTGCAGCCAGACATTTGGGACTTGGATCAGCACCTAAGGGTGCCATTCAGCAGACAGCTACAACAGGGATGTGCTCCAGAGACCACATCAGGGCAGCCAGGAGGAGGGAAGGAAACAGAGAAAAGTCCAGAAAAGAGTAACAGAAAATCAATGAACATCCATGGAGGGGCTCCCGAGGCTGCCATGATTGTGAGAGGAGATCTGGTCTCACAGCCACCACAAAACTGTCCCTGTGGGGATTCCCTTGGCCCTACCTATGGTGTTGGTGTCACGTCCTCATTACAAGCCCAGGACCCAGATCCTGTTCCCACCAAGCTCCCACATACTCACAATTTCAGGAGTTTCTTTGTTTGCCTTTTGCCTCCGCAGATCTGCCTTAATGAAAGCTGAAAACAAAAAAGCCAGCGTCATCAAACAGATGACTCCTTAGAGGGAAACTCTTATTTTCCTAAAGGTCATAGACATCCCAAACCCACTTCAGATAGCCCAGGAAATTGGTGCCACACAACTTGGTAAAGTTGATTATCCAGTGATGACACTTTGAGGCCACTTACATTTGCTAGAGACTTTATGTACACTGCTCTAGGAGAGGAGCAATCCTCCTTTTACAGGGTAGGAAACTAAGGACCCCCCAGAGTGGCCCACTTACCCAAAGTCAAGAGCCAGGGAAATCAGTGTCAGAACAGATTCAGATGTGGGCCTTCTGACTCCAAAGCCCAACTTCATTCAACTAAAGCGTGTTATTGGCCCCCAGCAGATTTCCTAACAAAGACTTCCCCTTGCACGTGTGCTCTCCATCTGATCAAGACACTGGGGCTCCGCCTTGCCAGTTCCCTTCCCCCTGAGCAGCCTGAGCCTCATCTGGCTCTCAGGCCCCAACTCACCAGTGAGGGCCGACCCAAGGGTGAGGAACACACACAGGAAGATGTTCCCAGGCATGGTTCCATACTTGTCAATAATCTGGCCCTGGGAGATGGTGAAGATGATTCCAAACACCTGGAAAAGCACAGGGAAGGGTGAAGATTGGAAAGAAGAACGCAGTCAACTGGTCCCTGGGCACAATTGAGCTGCCGCGGTGCAATACCAGCCCAGCTAGGCAGGGAACAAAGAGAGGACAGAAGCTGTACCTGTGCAGACACGTTGAGCAGGCCAGATGACATGCCTTCCGATTCGGGGTATGTGAGCTCCACAGCAAACTCGAACCCGAGTGGGAGATAGCCAGTCATAAAGAAGCTGAAGTCCAGATCAGAGAAACAAGGTGATAGGGAGCTTCCAGGGCAAGGATGGGGAGCCCAGCTCCCTTCAGTCTCCCTCTCCTGTTTTTCCTTTCCCATAAGGCATCTCAAACATTCTGTCCATCCTCCCTAGGCCTTGGACAATCTATCCACGCTCTAGGTGGCCATTTCAAGAAAAGGGATATCTCTGCGGACCAGGATGATGCTCAAGTGTAGGCCTTGTGCCCAGCGGGTCCCGTGCTTCTGTCTCTGGCCTCAGTGGCAAAGCAGCACTTACAGAGAGGCAAAGAAGCCTATGCATTCCATGTCCAGCTGTGAGACCGTGGCTGGGAACAGGGCTCTGGGCTGGGAGAAGTCCCCAGAGCTGGGGCAGCATCTCCAGGGCAGAGCACCCTGCTGAGGATGGGCACTGCCAGAGTCACCCCCTCATACTCACACTCACAGACATGCACACAGACACACTCACATCAAAGGAAAATAACTGGGCAGAGGGGAGCAAAGGCTTTGGTGACAGCTGAGCTATTACCAATAGTTTCAGAAATTTCCAGTCCTAATTCCTTTCGTCTGTTCCACACTTATGTTTTTGAACCTATTATCTCCCTCGATCCTTCTAGGATGGAGGTTACACATCTTCATTTATACTTGAAGAAACAGAAGCTTGGGACAGTTAGGTGACATGCCAGTGGTCAAGCTGAGACCTGGGCAATTTTTATTCCAAGCCCTGTGTGTTTTCTATGACCCTGTTTTGTTCCAGACAAAGTTCTAAGGGACTCTGAGCATTTCCTAGCATCCCAGAGATCCTGAAGGGCATGTTCATGATTCACTCCCCCCCCAACTGGGCACACCAGGCTGCCTGAAGTGCCACAACTATTACCAAGATCCCCAGAGATCCTTTGTACATCTCCTGAGGTCAGTAAGAAGGCAGAAAAGGGGTTCATTGTTGTGTTCTGGGATACCAGCAGTTCTAGTAGATGTGGACAGTGTTTTCCAATTTAACAGGTTGGAGGTGACACTCACCCCAATGTGCCAGCAGTGAGGAACACTACCCACAGGTGTCCCAGGTTCAAAGTCAACGTGTAGACCACCATGCCCACCAGAGCCATGATGTACACCACCAGGGTTGTCTCCCTGTAAGCAGAAGCACAGAAGTTGAGATATCTTTCTGACTGTAACAAGAGCCATCATTTATTCAATCCACAAGTATCTGGTGAGCACCTGTTGGCTGCCAAGCTCCCTGTGATGTGCCAGGACATTGCTTGCATAGAGTCATCTGTCTATGAAGGTGATGAACACTGAATCAATAATCACCCAAAGGGTTACTTCCTTTTTAGCCTGCTATAGGCAAGCACCTTTCCTCCTGAACCCGCTCCATAAGCTGCCCCTTCTGGCATGTCCTATCTATGGGGACGAAACGCATGGCCCTTCCCTTCTGCTATCTTCTACCGGGAAAAAAAAGTCAGACAAACAGCAGCCACAGTGAGATGACAGTGATGTTCAGGACTCCCCAGGTTGTGATCGATTGCTGCTTGTTAGCTTTGCCCTGGGACTTCCTGTTGGGCAATGCTAGGTAGTGATGTGACTGTCAGGTGCTCTCTGTCACCAGGAGTTCTTTTCCCAGCACGGCTTTTCCTGCGCAATCAGAACTACTCTGTGCAGACAGCAGAACTAAGAGTGGATGTTTCTCTAGCCTCGAACTCCAAAGTGCTGGGCTCCAAAGCCAAAGTGAGACATCTCCACCCACTCCCTGTTACCTTCTCCTTTTTTTAGTTCTCCCAGAAGTACAGTCAGCAAGTCCTGAGTCTATTATCAAGCTCAGCGCCACTGTGTAACTCCATATATTTCTCTCCCCACGGAGCCCAGCAAGGACTCTGCTGCGGCCCTGACCCCTGCAAGCAGACCTGCGCTCCACCCGCCACCCTCGTCTGCCTCACTGCCGAGCATATCCTCCTGCCCTCTCTCTTGAACATAAGGACTCAGATGTGAAAGCCAAAAGCCTTCACACATCTCTGAGACCAGAAGAGGTGGGCGCCAGGGAGCACACCACAGTGTATTAAAGTAACACTACACTGATGGGGCGTCAGACTCCACTAGACACTTTACATGCATTTCTGATTTCAACTCAACCCTATAGAAAATCCTGCAGGAAATATGGGACTATTCCTAAGTTTCCCAGTGAGAAAACTGAGGCCAATGAAGTTACTTGTCTAAAGTCACCGGCCTAATAAACGCACAGGGAGGGGCTTGAATCCAGAACTGGGCTTGAAACATCAGTGCTTTCTACTGCTGTAAGTGGGAGTAACAATCAACTATGTGGTTGCACTTTGGAAAAGATCAAGGCCAAAGTCTCCAGAGGATGCCGCTTCTGGCTTCCCCGTGGTGCTTCAGAGCTGCTGCTGGGGGTAGAGAAGTTTTCTCCTGCCCTCACCCTGGTCTTTCCCTCTATTCCCACACCTCACAAAGGAACTTCAAGGTCAGCAGCCTTTGTCAGTGATTCCACAAGCTCACCAGATACTAACGTTTGGGGCCATGTCTGTGTAAACTCAGCTTCTTTTTTTTTGTTTGTTTTTGAAGACGGGGTCTTGTTGTATAGCGCAGGCTGGCCTTGAGCTTACTATGCCACCCAAATTGGCCTTGAACTCATGGGAATCCCACTGCCTTGGCCTTCTGAGTACCAGGCTTACAGGAGTGCACCACCACATCCAGCTCAGAAAGACTATTTCTAATTCTAGCCTGAGATAAACACAGACCTCAGCACCCAATTTCCAGCCTGCACAGCAACAAAGATGAATCTGGGAGCCCTTGGAAGAAGACACTGACATGGAGATAGACGGCAAGGTCACAGAACTGTCACAGCCCACTGAGAACTGTCCTCTCTGCCTGGTTACTTAACAGGGAGAAGAAGATTTAATGAGACCACTCGGTTTAGACATCAAATAACACTAGGAGCCGACGATGCCTGTTCTAAAGGGCTGAGAAGTGTCCTCCCCAGAACTTTTGCTGTATTTTCTGATTTGTCTGATTCATCTGGCTGCCCACACCCCAACCCAGCGACATTCCAATCCCTCCCTTCTGCTGCAGGGCAAGCCCTGGAAGAAGGACACTGCTGTTCCCTGCTGTGGGGGTGGCCAGTCCTCTCTGCTCTTGGTCTGGCCAAAGGAGCAACTAACAACTGGCAGAGACGCTTTGGCGGCCAAGCTCCACCAGTGGTAATTACGAACCCACGGTAAGCCAGTAGCCACATCTTCAAGGGATGGCCTCAGTTGGCCTTTGACTAGGGTAGCCAGAAGCAAGTCTTTGTGGCAGAAAACAGGTCTGCCACTGTCTGTCACCTCCAGACATTGAGAACACTGGAGGCCTTACAACAGCAGGGAACACTGCCCCGGCCCAAAGGAGGAAAACTGAGCAGCTGTTCCATCAGCCCCCATTAACTGAGCATCCAGCGCAGGGGGCACATGGGAAAGTCACAGCAAGAAGGGCAGGAAGGGCTGGGGTGAGCTCAGTGTAGACTGCTTGCCTAGCATATGTTAATACCTTGGGCATGTCACAAAGATTAACCCACAAGATCTAAACATCTGCGAGATAACACTGCCAACTGTGTACTTGGTTAACCCCACAAGGTCCGGAGAAGCCACAGCAACAGGGCAGTGGAATCCCTCCTCATCTCCTCTCTGAGGTTTTGTAAACTTTCCAACTGCTGAGGTTTTTTGCTTTTTTTTATTATTCTTTTTTTTTTTTTTTTAGTTTTTTGAGACAGGGTCTCATCATGGGGTTCAGGCTGGCTTTGAACTCACTATGAAGCCCAGGGTGGTCTCAAATTCATAGTGATCCTCCTGCCTCAGCCTCCCAAGTGCTGGAACTATAGGCACATGTCATCATACCCAGGTCAAAGTTTTTGGCTTTTGTTTTTTTTCCCACAATTTCCATTTCTCCTTCATCTGCGCCTTCTACAAAGCTACTCGGCAGACAGGGATGGAGTAAAGCACTGTGCTGGCTTGTGTTCTCATCTCTAACCTTCCCAAGATCCCTGAAGGTTGGGTGGGGTATCCCTCACTCCGTAATTAAGGAGACTGAAGCTTGGAGAAGATAAGTTGAGCTACCCGCTTGGTTCCTCAGACCTCTCACTGTCACATCCCAAGCTGACCTGCATTGCTATCAAATGCATCATTTCTAAAGATGGGTCCCCAATTCTGCCGGAGAGAAAGGGTGACTTACTTGTAAGTTTTGGACTTATCCAGCCAAATGCCTGAGATCATAGCCCCAAACATTCCTGCAATGACAATGGTCAGGCCAATTCGTCCAGCATTCACTTCTTCCCCCTGGAGAAATCCCAAAGAGCACCAGATGTCAGGACAAGACACAGGACAAGATGAAAGTTCAAAGGTGAGCAACTCAGAGACCAGCTCAGAAAGATGGCCCGGAAGCGGACAGGCTGGGAGGAAACCCGGGAGCAGCTGCTCTTCCCTGCAGTGTATCCCGTGTGTGTGTGTGTGTGTGTGTGTGTGTGTGTGTGTGTGTGTGCGCCTGTATGGGTGGGTGGGTGGGTGTGACTCAGCACTGGGTTACAGTGAACCAAATTCTGTTCTTAGAACCAATTTTAGGTGCATTTTAAAAAACAATTGAATCCTTATAGCAACCCTGTGATCTTACTTACCATTATTTCCATTCACAGATGGGGGGATCAGAATCCAAATATTCCATTCTTAGATTTTTATTTTTCCTCAGTACAAGATTTCAGACTTTTTCTCCCCCCACCTTTTTAAAGATCCTCACTAAGTTGGCTAAATTATCATTCAGGCAAGGCTTAAACGTGTGATCCTCCTCCCTCAGTCAACAAGAGTGCTAAGATTATAGGCATGTGTCACTACACTCAGTTCATTCTTACATTTTTTTTAGCTACCAGTGCCCCAGGAAGAAGGAAAATAAGGCTGCATATTTTTGAATGCTTACTATAAACTGAGCACCATGCCTGAGATTTTTCCAATCGCATGATCCTCACGATTACCCACAAAAGATCAGGAGTCAGTGGACCCTACTGTACCATGATGAAACTGAGGCACAGGGAGATTTATCTAGGAGTTCAGGGTCACACATGAAGGACAGAGCAACGTGAACTCAGGCCAGCTCCAAAGCTAGAGCCCTTAGCCACAGTGGCCGCCTGCTCTGGAAGTGTGTGATTCCAGTTCTTTCAAAAGAAGACTCCGGGACACACCTCTCCCGGAATGCAGGACAACTGCTACAACATTAGTTAAATCAGGTCTTTTTCCGTATACTGATGTGTACAGAGTGGGCTAAGCTATTCCCTTCTCCCTTTAATTGGTTGTAAGTGATGCAGATTAGGCTAGCCGAAGTACTGGTATGTAATCCTTGAAGCCAACCTGACAGTTTCCTATTTCCTTGCATAGCACGCTCTGTACAAGATTGAGCACATAGCAGGATAGCAGAGCCACTTAGCTCCAGGAATGTCAGTCAACTGGGAAGGAGCCTCAAAGTAAGAGACTGTGGCTACCCAGACAGTTTACACATCAGAAACTGAAGCAACAGCCTCCTAAATTCATTCATATGCCGTCCCAGTCAAGTTATGCAGACTGGACTTTCTGTTTACCTCCTTGCATATTACAAAATTGATTTTCTACCCACCTGATAGAAAAGATTACTCATGTAGTTTCCACCATCCTCCCTGTCACTCATCCTCGAGCCACTCCCTACTTTACAAGATAATAAAATCTGGGAAAGGCCTTGGGTCAAGGCCTTTTCTGCACATCCTCCCTTGGATTGGATTTAGGACCCCTTGGATGCTCATAACTTTGAGTATATCTTGGTGTCTTTACTCTTGCTGTGGGTTGCATTGCAGATGATAGATTGGAATTAACTTGCCATGATTCCAATAATGGAATTACAAATATAACTTTCTGAATTGTGAGGAATTTCAGAAAAGGGATTACAATGCTTGGATTACAATATTCAATATATGGGGCTGGGCATATAGCTCAGAAGCATAAGTGCCTGCCTGGCAAGCAAAACGTCCTGAGTTCAATTCCCAGTATCAAAACAAAACATAATATTAATTAATTAATATTTGGAGTACAATAACTCAGCATCCCTCTCCCAATGATGTCCAGCCCTCACTGGCTCTGCAAACGTTTTTAAAATGCTTTCATTTGAGCCAGGCATGGTAATACGTGCCTGTGATACCAGCACACTCGGGAGGCTGAGATGAAAAGATTGAGCAGCCTGGACTACACAGGGAAACCCTGCCTCAAAACACAAACAAACAAATTACTTTCAGTTGAGCAACTAAGATTTCAAAATTAAACCTTGCCCACATTTTGTATATTAATTTTTTTTTTGTCTTTTTGAGATAGGGTCTCACTATGCAGTTCAGGCTGGCCTTGAGCTCACTTTGTAACCCAACCTGGTCTCGAACTCGCAACAATCCTCCTGCCTTGGTGCTGGAATTACAGACGTGTGCCTCTGTGTCCGGTTCAAATTAAATACTGTGTGTGGCCAGATAGCATGTATTGTATGTTACTTATGCCATATATAATAAATATGATATAATCTATAAAGAGAGATCCACAGACAAGTAATATTACTTCTTTTCCAACCCTAAGGTAATATGAAAGAAAAGAGAGCTCAGTGATGCCAACTGGCTTGTCACCCAGTCACACTACTGTTGCCCTTCATACCACCAGGCGCGGAGTGAGGACCAAAGCCATCCTCTCTGAATCCTGTAAGCACACCACCCACAGTGGGAACTGAGCGCTATCTTGGCAGAGACAGACTTGGAAACCCTGTCTCCAGACCCGGCATGCTTAGCGGCCTCCCTTACCGGGTAATGCAAGATCACCATGCGGTTCAGCAGAGTGGACAGGGCATAAAAAGCACCAGCATTCAGACCTGAAGAGAGGGAGGGAGAAACACAGCATTAGAGTCAGCCCTCTCCTGCCACCATTGCCACCACCCCTCCTGCTGTTAGGGAGGTAAGAAACCCCCAGCCCTGTGCCCCTGCAGCGGTGTCCTCAGGGAGCTATGGGAACACAGTTCTTCTCAAAGGACACTTCAGGACAACCAAAAGCAGCCATAGAACCTTTTCTGAGCCCCGCACCACCGCCCTGCAATCCCCTCAGCCTATTCTGGATACTCAGGCTCTGCACAGCATCTCTCCCAACTCCAAGTCGCTCACGTTTCTGTCTTAAGCCTAGGTCCGACCTGCCCCTCCTCCTCCTGATGACCCTGTCCCCTCTCTGTACCACTCCACACCCAAGACCAGGTCTGAGGTCATTTCTCTCCTCCTGCTGCACCCCACCAGTTGCTTCTCTGAAGGAAGATCTTCCGTCTCTGATTCCAGATTTTCCAAGGTTGACTATGGGAACTACAAGACACCTTAAAGAGCATTTAGTTGGTGTCCTGCTTCATCATTCATTAAAAACAAAAAAGGAGCATCCAGATCAGACAGGAAGACCCGCATCCTGAGAGGACAAGGTTCCGCACAAAGCCAAGCAGTGAGTGGGCAATGACGATGAGATGGACCTAACCCAATGGGGAAGAGCCAGCTGCTTTCTGACGATGGTAGTGACGATGACACAGATGGCAGTGACAACGGCAGTGGCACATACTTTGTCTTTTGTACTGGACACCAAGATAAGCACATTACAATCTTTATAACCATGCTGGAAGTTTGGTGTTAGTTAGTGTTAGCACCCCCACTCTATAGATGAGAAGAATGCACATAGATTTAAAAACCAAACCCAGTCACTCCATAATGCCAGCCAAGGATCTTTTTGGCCTTTTTTTTTTTTTTTTTTTTTGGAGACAAGGTCTATGTAGTTCAAGCTGACTTTGAACTCACTTTGTAGCCCAAGCTAGCTTGGATCTCATGGTGATCCTCCTGCCTCAGCCTCCCAAGTACTAGAATTACAGGTGTGTACTACCATACACTCAGCCTACAAGAGGTGATTTTTATCACAAGCAATGCTGCCTAAATGTAACTGACATACTTAGGGAAACAGATATTGAGTTAGGTGAAGGTCAAATTCTACAAAAGTCATAAAATCTGCTTTTCTACCCCTGAGATCACACAGATATTAAGTGGTAGAGCTGGATTTGAACCCAGAGCCTGAAGCTCCAGAGTTCTTGATCTTAATCACTCTACTCTCCATCCTCACAGAGCTGACTCTCAGACAAGTGTCCCCGAAACCAGGTCACTGAATAGTTTACTGCAATCCCAGCCCCTCCCAGAAGATCACGCCAATGAGGCTCCCTGAACAGCACGGAACCAACAGATTCAGACCTGTCATTCACTGTCACCACGACTGCCAGGCTGGTAGTCATGGTAACTTGGAGGGTCCCAACAACATCTCATTCATAAACAGACTCAACTACCATTCATCCCACACACCCAGCTGCTTAGAATTCCATTTCTGAGCCCAGAGGACCATCAAGAGACACTCCCAGAGAGAGAGTGGGCTGAAATGTAGGAGGGAGAGAGGGAAAAACAGCCTCCTGCCCTCTTCTTGCCCCTGACTCAGCCACCGGCCTGGCCTGACCCTGCTGGAGATGTTCCCAGCCAGCCTCAGCTTTAGGTGGAGCCCGAGCTCTCACCCTGGAGCCCCAGAAGGGAGGAAGGAAGAGGTCACAATCCACAGAGACAGAGCCTCAGTACATATGAGGGCTAGAGCAAAAAAAAGAACACCCAGCTGGCCCACATCTGTAATTCTAGCACTCAGGAGGTATAGACAGGAGAATTGTTGAAAGTCTGAGGCCAACCTGGGCTACATGGTGAGTTCAAGGCCAGCCTGAGCTACATGGCGAGACCCTGTCTCCCTATTAACCCAACCTGGCCTTAAACTTGCAGCAATCCTTCTGCCTCAGCTTCCCAAGTGCTGGACTTGCAGGTGGGCACCACAACACCTGGCATTTGGGAGTAAGTAAACATAGAAGATTGGAGAGCAGACCTAAGACCTCTGGTAATTTGGTTCTCAGAGATTCTTAACTCTTCTGCAAGGCAAAAGCAGTCCCCACCAACACCCTGCCAGTCTTTGTGAATGTGAATTTCAAGAAGTGCAGAAAATCATATACTCATTAACTCTAACACCCCAGAAATGCCTCTCCTGGGGAAGGCTTAGTGCATTAGTCAGCTTGAGTGACTGTGATAAAACACATGAGAGAATCAATCAACTGTTGAAAATGAAAGGTTGGCTTTAGCTGGAGTTTCAGCCCATGCTGGCCTGTTGGTTTTGGGGCTGTGGCAAGGTCACCATCATGGCAGGGAGCACGTACAGGAGCAGACAGTCCCCTCAGGGTGAACAGGAAGGGAAAGACAGGGGCAACCCCAGGTTCAAGGACCCCCAGTGACCTCACGCCTCTTTCTACAAGGCCCCACTAATAAGGCACATCATCTCCCAGTAATGTCACCAGTGCCCACCAAGCCTTGAACATATGGTGGACCTTCGGCAGCTACTCAAGATCCAAACTGTAGTACTAGGGAAAGTCAATTCCAAATCGCATCTCTGGGCTCTGGTTACTCAGTTCCTCTTCTGTCCTTCGTTAGCTAGAAGGAAAAGCTTGAGCGTTTGTTGTGGTGCTGGGCATTAAATCCAGGGCCTTCACACTGAGGTACATCCCCAGCCCATTTTATGTTTTATTTTGAGACAAGATCTTGCTAAATCACTGAATTGTCTGAATTTGGTGTCTCTGTCTCAACTCCCCAAAGTACTGGGATGACAGGTGTGGGTCACCACCCCCAATACATAAAAAATTGTTTTAACAGGTCAGCTTGCCAAGCTTCCAGGAAACTCCAGAAAGACTTCTGATTTTGTTTGTTTAATTTGGTGGCAGGGGTTTTGTTTTACTATATAGTTCAGACTGATTTGAACTTATTATGTAGTCTAGGCTCACCTTGAACTCCAAGTGATCCTCCTGCCTCAGCCTACTGGATGCTGGGATTGCATGTGTGTGTCATCATGACCAGCTATATGCCCATTCCTGAACCAGGATCTTGAAAGGAACACAGAGGCCCCTCCCTAGGCTGACATGCCTAGAGAATAACAAAGCACTCGAGGCCCCTGGAAAGCAAACCTGGAGATCAGACCAGACACATTAAAGACATCAGAGCACAGTCTGGGGGAGGATGGGCATGATATGGGAAGCACTCCTAGAGAGTCCCCAGACCAAGAGCCTTCTCAGCAAGGTACTGTCAGGCTACAGATAAAGACATCAGAGAAAGTCAGGTCACAGTGAGACTCAGCACACAGAGAGAGGGCAGCCCCGGGCAGAGTATTCTTTCTCAGGGCTCCTGGCTTTATCCTGCTCTACTTCACTCCTGACACACTGGGCAGCCCTGCCCTGTGCCCAGACACCGGGAAACTTATGAGACTCTGGGTGCCAGCCTGGAGTCTTCCTGCACTGCCAACCCTAACTGCAGTACCCATCTCCTCCTCTCTACATTGCATTGCCAGACCTAGGAGAAAACCAGACAAAACCAGCACAGCTACCCAGCTAAACCTCAACTTAAAATAAGTAAATCAATAATTCAGCATGAGGAAGCCCCCATATTTCAGGGCAAGTGTTAATACAGGAAAGCAGTATGTTCCTGAAATTCGACTCTACTTGGCTAACCTTTACTTTATCTCTCAGTGTTAACTCTAAAGTTGAGACCAAAAGTGTAGTGCAAAGTCCAGCTCTTAGACCCTGCGCTTCTTCCCTGGGCTTCCATTGTTAGGACTGCATCTCAGCCCGCAGTAGCTGCTTCAGCAGCCTGGGAAGCTTTTGGGAAATCGCTGGAGATTCTGTCTATACCAGACACACTTCTTTCCCAGTCAAACCCAGCAACCAAAGGATGCTGGGAGTTGGCAAGTTCATTAACACAGCAGCAATTTGGATGCATGCTTGTGTGTCTTTACTTTTATTTTATTTACAGCATTTATCCTTTTTGAGGCAGGGTCTCCCTATGTATTCAGGCTGGTCTTGAACTCACTAGGTACCCGCGGCTGACCCTGAGCTCAGTGAGCTTCCTGCCTTAGCCTCTTCTTGGGATTGCAGGCATGTGCCACCATGCCTGGAGTGTAGATCTTAAACATCCACCAAAGGCTCTGTGTTGAAGGCTTAACTGCCAGCCTGTGGTCTACTGGGAAGGGGTGGACATTTCGTGGGACATACTGGGAGCAAGTTAGGCCATTGGGGTGCACCTAACAGAGGATGTGGGCCCCCCAACCATTCCCCCTCTGTTTCCTGGCTGCCATTCTGTTCCACCACACAGAACCCCTCCGTGATCTTCTTCTTCACATGCCCAAAAGCAAAAGCCCACAGCCAGGGGACTGAAAGCTCTGCAACTGTGACCCACATAACTCTTTCCTCCTTTTTGATTTTTCCCCCAGTCCTAGGGATGATGCCCAGGGACTCACACGGGCCGTGGTGGCAGGAACTCTGCCACTGAGCTCACTCAGCTCTTTCCTCCTTTTTTAATTCAATGCTCAGAGATTTTTGCTTAGAGCAGTGAAAGGTGAACCTGGGTGGAGGAGACAATTGCGGGGGATTACAAAGCATCTCTCTGAATTTAGATCAAGCTTTGTCTGGTTCACTTTGTTTTAATTGAGAGCTATGATAATGGGAGAGGCAAGTAGAGGTTTGTCGGATTAAGGGCCCAGTGCCACCTTTCTGAGATTACAAACCTTGGACACATGAAATCCCGTCACCCCTCCAAGTCCCCAGCACTCTGGCTCTTCTCAGAAGTACTCAGCTTCCAGGCGTGGTCAGGAGGACTGAATCCAAGGAAATGACACACTCCTGGGGTGTGGATCTCAGGCGAGGGGGGCACAGAGCCCAGGCGCTGTGGCCAGGAGGGTCCTCTCTCTCCAGGAGGCAAAGTGGGGCAGTGGTCAGGAACTGATCAGCCAGCACCTGTACTCTGAGCTCCCTAGCCATCCGGTTCTCAGCAATGGCCTAACTCTCACAGTCTTGATTTCTCATGAATAAATGCAAGTTATTAAATGAACTAATGCATGTAAAGCACTTAACACGGTGCCCAGCACATAGCAGTGGTTTAATGAAAAACATTTTCCCACCCGTGATGAAGCCTAAGAATCATTTCCTTGTTGGCAAAGGGCTCTGCCTCCCTAGCCCAGTTCTCTGCCATGGAATAAGGGTTATGGTTCTCTGACTATAATGAGGCATGTGCAAATATCCAAAGCTCGCTCTTACTGGAATAATTCCAGGCTTTTGAGATAAATACTAATATATTCTGTCAATGCAAAACAGTCAGATACTTCCAGAGGCCCTGAAGTGAAATGTAGTTCTAGTTTAAAGCTATATTATTATTTTTTTTTTTTTTGAATTTGCAAAGTTTTGTTCCATTTTGTTTTGAGACAGGCTTTCACTATGTAGTTCAGGCTGGCCTTGAATTCAGGGCAATCTTCCTCCCGAGTGTGGGATTACAGGCATGCACCCCTACGCCTGATGACATTCAGCCCAGTTTCTTGAATAAACATTACTGGCATTGTTGCAAGCCTTTGCTTGAGAGTTTTGAAAATATTAATTTTAAGCCAGGCATAGTGACATATACCATAGTGGCACATGCATCCCAGCACTCAGAAGGCTGAGGCAGGACTGCTGTAAACTCAAGGCCAGCCTGGGCTACATAGTGATTTCAAAGCCAGCCTGCAGTACATAGCAAGCCCCTGTCTCAAGAAAATAAAAGAAAGACCAAAAACAAACAAACAAAAAAGATTTTAATGATTATTTTTCCATTGTTCTTGCTGCTGTCATGGAGGAGTAGGTTTTCTAAGATCTTTACTCCATCATTCAAGAAGTGCTTCTTGTTTATTTCCTGTTATAATTTAACCAAACAGATAAGGATGAATGTCCAGAAGTACAAGATTAAAACTGCTTGCCAGATTAAAGGTCATATAAGCACCAGACATAGTGGCACATTCCTGTAATTTCAGCTACTCAAGAGATGGGAGAGGAAGGAGGGTCCCAAGCTTGAGAATAGCCTGGACAACTTAGTGAGACCCTATCTCAAAATAAAAAAATAGAAAGAGCTAGAGATATAGCTCTACTCAGCAGTAGAGTGCCGTTGGGTCCCATCCCTAGTACTAGCCTGAAAAAACAAAATCCTACAGGCAACCAGCCACACAAAAGAGAAGAAAAAGTTGCTTTGCTCACCATAGTATGGCCTAGTGTTGAGATCCTCCATGTGCAGAAGCAACCCAAGTCTAAGAGCATTTTGTCCTGCTGTCCAGAATCCACGGTCAGGACCTGGCCCTGCCATCAAGAGCCTCTAGTACAGAAGATCTCAGGCTCTGGAATGGGCCCATGATCCCTGGCACCATGACCATCATCTTTTGGCTAAAGGAAATATTTTCTAAGCCTTTATCACTCCAGAACCCCAAGCCAGGCCTCCAATGCTCCACTGTCCAGTGAAGTAAGGCCTATCGGGGTCAAAGTTCAAAGCACTCAAAAATTTCACTTTAGGAAAAAGTGCAGTTCTTAAAGTCATAGAATCCTGAGACTGAAAGGGACTCCTAAGTCCATCTGGCTTCACCTCCATCTATACAGCCTGTGATTTGCTCTACACCTCCACACCTCCACACCACGAGTTGGTCCCGTATATGCTTGAATACATTCCTGTGATGGGCCATTCATTCCTTCTTAGCTGGATGTCTCTAAGTACTGGCAACTTTACAGATGAATGCAGAGGCATACTTAGAGAAAACTGAGAAACTGCAGGGAACAGGGAATGGAGAACTAAAACTTTTAAAACTAATCCAGTAAACTAGAACTATTCCAAATGAGAAGTCACTAGCCTCTGTGTAACCCTGGAAAATTTAGGACTACTTATGGCCGGGTACAGTGGCACACACCTATAATTCCCCCACTCCTGCCTCAGCAAGAGGATTGCCATGAGGTTGAAGACAGCCTGAATGACACAGTGAACTCATAGGCAGCCTGAACTACACAGTGAGACCTTGTCCAGAAAAAAAATAAATAAATAAAATAAAAAAGAACTGCTTATCTACCAGCATAACCAACATCTCTTATCTTGTGCCTCAACAGATAAACACTTTAAAATAAAGGGCTCCGATAAGCCCAAAAGGAAACCCTGGGCACAATTCTAGGAATGCGTAAACAGGCAATTATGGAAACAGGCATTTAAGGATGCAGGCTTTGGAGTTAGATGAATCCAAATGCATGGTCTGCCATTTAAAAGCTGTCCAAACATGGTCTAGTTACCTAGCATTGATGAGTTTCAGTCTACCTCACTCAGCTGTGGTGGGAATTAAAATAAAATGCTATTGCTATAAAACAATGGTTTGGGGGGCCTTAAAAAGGCATGAGATTATAGTCAAATGGGGTTTCACTAAAATCAAATCTTTCTGGGCCGGGGATTTAGCTCAGCTTCACAAGCATCTGCCTAGCAAGTACAAGGTCGATCACTGGTACCAAGAAACAAAAACAAAACAACAACAAAAACCCAAGTCTTTCCAAGCCAATCTCATTCCTTTGTTTCATGGGTTACTGAGTATGTCGCATACTTAACTGACTCTGAATTTTAACTTTAACCAGTGGTTCTAAGATGACAATGTGTAATCCATTAACTAGTGATTTCCTACTGTCCATTTTTTTTCTGCAAATCTGTATAACTTGTACCCTTTCTCTGCTTTTTTTTTCTTTTCTCCTTAAATAAAATTAAAAAAAAAAAAAAAAACTTTAACCAGTGGAGTAAGCACAACTGGGTGGATCTGCAACTTTCTGAATGAGGAGCACCGATTAATGGGCAAACGTTTACCTAACGGACAGATAGATGTGCTTTAATGAGATGCCACGGCCCTCTGATCTCACCATTTTCTGATGGTGGTAGTGTATTATCTGTAATACCAGCACTCCAGAAGCTGAAGCAGGAGGATTACAAATTTGATTCCAACACAGACAACCTATTAGGACCCTGTCTCAAAATTTACAAAATAAAAAAAATGGGCTGGGGATGTATGTCGGTACAAGGGCACCGGATTCAATCCGCAGTACTGGAAAAAAAAAAAAGTTGGAAAGAAGATGCAGAAAACATCATGCTAGCAGAGCAAGCCAGTACACCAGCAGAGGCATGCAAATTTCTCTTACCAAAGGTCAAGAAAATGAAATGAGGATTTGTTTTGCATTTAGGCAAAAAAAAAAAAAAAAAAAAAAAAAAAAGGCGGGGGTGGGGCAGCATCAATGTTGCAAAATGCGGGAACACTGGTTAAGGATGATTCAGGTGGCAACATTCACATAGGCAGGCATCCATTTATTCATTCCTTCATTCCACTACTAGAGTACCCTCCTGAGGCTGGCCACTGCAGAGGCAAAAACTCCACTCGGGGAGAGACCTGGAAATGTTTTGTTTTTCAATGGCATCTATTAAGATGTTCAAGTAATGGCACAGTAAGTAGCAGAAGAAAGTTCACCCAGTCCTGCCTCACAGAGGTGACACCAGGATGAGATGCGGGGGACTAACATACACCGGCCAGACAACCCGGCGGGGGACGGAGGACCGTACAGGCTGGACTTGCCAGTACATTCGAAGGTTCTTGGGCAAAGCTGGCCTCTGAAGCTGGAGGACTTTAGGTGCACTCCTGGGACTCGGGAGGAGAAGGACATGGACACACACCAGGCTTGCACCTCCTGTTCCCAGCTCCGGGGAAGCTGGGGCCGCATCTGTTCCTTACCATAGGTGATGACGAGCAGCACAAAGCTGAGGTTTTTGAAGAGCCGGACGATGGAACTCAAGTACGAAGCATCAGAGGACGCCAAGGCATAGCTGAGGGACTGAGCCCTGCTGGGAGGGTGTTTTGGTTTCTCCTTGAACACTGAGAGGAAAGAAATGGAGGTGACTGAGAAGTCCTGTGCTCTCACCCAAGCCAATCTGTGGCTCCATCACCGGGAAAGGAGCTAAGACTCCAAAGCAAATGCTCATCCTCTTCAGAAGCCGGGCGTTCTGTAATCCCAGCACTCGGGAGGCTGAGGTGGGAGGATCATTGCAAGTTCGAGACCAGCCTGGGCTACAAAGTGAGCTCAAGGCCAGTCTGAAGCGCATAGTGAGACCCTGTCTCAAAAAGACAAAAAAAAAAGAAGAAGCTGCTTCTCAGCATGAGCTCCGTGGATGACTTTTTCTTAAGGGCTCCTGGAGGGCTAAAATCAGGGCTTCCTTCCCAGGCACTGATCAAAGGTCAAGGCGCCCTATAATAACACACCACAGAACACAGAAAAAACACAATAGCAGCCCGGGCCAGGGGGAAAAAAGCAGAGGCTGCAGCTTTGGGGTTCATGGGCCGGTTAGTAGCTTAGCTCCATGCCTCCTTTAAGGGCGTGGGGGCTGTGGTGCCTGTTTTTGGCACAGTGTGGCCAGAGGCAGCCGCTAAAATACTCCGGGGTCAGTGGAAAGGATCTTCGGTAGGAAATGCCCGGAGTTCATTCCTAGCTTGCCAAACTCAGGTCGGATATTTGTCTCACGGAGGACACAAGAGTCCTCCAAGCCGATACTCTGATTCGAAGAGCCAGAAAAGAAATGTGGGAAAACCGCTCCTTTTGTCGCTATTTCAGGGCAGCTGGTACCGTCATCTTGACCGCAGAGTGCCACCCAGTATTCCAGGGGGCAGGGCAGTTTAGCGAGTTACTCAGCCAAATCAGTCCCAAGGCTGAGGCTACGAAAGCAGCAGCACATGGCCCTCCCTCAACTCGTGATGGCTCCGGAAAAGGGCAGCAGGCTGTCTCTGAGAGAGGAAGCTGTGGAAACGCGGTTGGCTCTCCTGGAAGATCAAAGGGGCCCCACCCCGAAAACACTCCAGGCCTGACTTCAGAGCTGCTTCCTCCTCCTCCACAACTTCCACTGCAAGAAGCCCTCCCCATTGTCCTAGCCTTTGCCCCCTTTCCCTAAGGAAAGACCAAGGTCAACTCTGCACCCCTAGCTGGTGTGAGAAACAGAAAGAGTAACAAAGGACCAACGTGTGTAACAGGTATTGGAGGAAAATGGTCAGATGGGAAGGGGAATGAGGGAAGGAGAGGGAAGGGAAAGGAAAGGAAAGGAAAGGAAAGGAAAGGAAAGGAAAGGAAAGAGAAGAGAAGAGAAGAAAAAAAGGGAAACAAAGCTTGTGTAAATAAGGAGAGGAGGAGGGGATAAAGGGAGGGGAGGGGAATAGGAAAAAAGCAGCAGCAAGTTATATCATGTACAGGCACAAACTCCCTGTGATCAGTGTGATCATTATGTATCTCTAAAATGTACCAACAAAATTTTTAAAACCACACAAAAAAATTAAAAATAAATAAAAGAATTGGGGATATAGCTCAGCGGCATAGTGCCTGCCTGGCAAGCAAGAGGTTTTAAGTGAGATTTCTGGTACCAAAAAGATTAAATAAAGAAAGAAAAGAAAAAGAGGCCTTGGCAGCCTTGAAGATCAGATAAGATTTTCCATTCTTTACTCAATCAGCTACTATCTGTGCTTATAATAAAACGCTGAAACAAAATGTACTACCTTCACAGTTTGCAAATGCAAAGAACTAGGCCCTCTTTTTTTTCTTTTTGAGACAGGGTCTCACTATGTAGCATAGGCTGGCCTTGAACTCACAGTGATCCTCCTGCTTCAGCCTCCCAAGTGCTGAGATTACAGGTGTGTCCCACCCCGCTTGGCTTCTGCCAGTTTTAAGAGATAGCCCTTTCTTGTCCTGGATTCACAGAAAGAGTGACAGAGTAAGAACAGTTAGATGAGGTACACAGTTACAGAACCATCTCACTCTGGAGGTCGGGCCAACACGCAGGAATGAAACCTTTAACACATGAGATGGAATGTTGAGGCATTGGAAAGAAACTGGTTAACCTTTAGACAGGTGACTGACTGAAAATGAAAACCTCTACTTTGCTGTTTCTGAATCTGTCCACACCTACATGACATCACTCAGGTAAAACAGAAGATGGCAAAATTCTGTTGATCAAATGCCTCTGTGATTAAATGGATGTCCATATAAGATGTTATGGTAGTTACCTGAGATTGATGGTTGCAATCAATTTGTGCATGGGTAAGTAATGACCATTCCTCAGGCTCTTCTGTATTTTCTAGAGTTTTCCATAATGAACATTGTTATGGCTTGTGTCTAAATGTCCCCCCAAGCCCCATGTGATCATAGATGGGGCTTTTCAGAAGTGACTGGATCTAGAGTATGTGATGCTTTGGGATTAAGTGTGTGGTGCTGGAACTAAGGGTGTGTGGTTTCTAAATTAGTCCACTGATTGGTTTGGCATAGTTCTGAGTGTGGGTGCTGCCCTCCATAAGGGTGTACAGTAACATAAAGGACAGAAAAAGCACTTCTGTTATCGCTTGATTCTTGCTATTTTGCTACTTGGCTGCCTGGTGCCTTCCGCCCACCCTGAACTGTCTCTCCTCTGTGATGCCCCTCTGCCATGCTTCCCTGCCTTGGAGCCGGCCAACTATGAACTGAAACTTGTACAAACTTTTCTCCTTTAACCTTTCTTCCAAATAAACCTTTTCTCCTTTAATTTTGGATGTTGGGTACTTTGTCCCAGCAAAGACAAAAATAAGACATGCAGATATTATTTATAATTCTTCTAAAAAGCATCTAAGAAATGTAGCATCTGAACAGTCTCCATTTGATTTCTGATACTATTCATGTTTGTAGATAAATTTGTTTGTTATGGTTGATACACTGTGTCAACTTGAGAAATTTAGAAGTTTAACTAAGAGACTCAACAGGAAGCCAAGATCTTTACTCTGTAAATATCTTCATCCTGTGCAAGAGGAGGGCGCAGAGATTTTGCGAGGGCTACCCCTGCCCTGGAGGGAGCGGCCTGTGTACAATATAAGAGAGAAGAGGCTTGTCTTCCATGTTTTTGCTCCACCTGCTGCCTTGAAGTGTTGCCCCAGTGCCATGCCACCCTGCCTTGGAGCCAAGTGATTACAGAATGAAACTCCATAGTGAACTAAATAAACCTTTCCTTCCTTCATTTTGGGTGTTGGGTGTTTTGTCCCAGCAACAATAGAGAAGTAACCAATACACTGTGTTTCTTTTAGAAATTTAGAGCGTGGAGTTAGACGTGCTTAGAGTTGAATCCAGTCAGCCACTAACTAATCTTAAATAAGATTATCTAATCTGTCTATCTAATCTTGAATGACTTTAACCACTTTCCTCAGGTCTCCTTTTTTGTGACAGGACTAATCCGGTGGGTCACCTGGTGGTCAGGAGTTCTGACCCACATGAGGTCAGGGGTTCCTAGTACAGTTTCTTGATGCTGTGGGACCTCACAGGTGGTTCATCACGTTACCCAATTCTGGTGAAGTAGAATTGGAGAATTATTTAATTACAATTAAACCTTCACTGAGCCACTGACAAAGTGGGCAGGACTAACAAGCACTGTCCTGGGGGAAACTTCAGGGGCTGAAACCCTGAAAGATCCTAACTTGCCTCCACTTTCTGTAAAAGTCCACGATATGTTAGGGCCATCTTCCACAAAGGCAACTGCACCTCCCTGCCCCCCTCAGTCTACTGATGACCTTACCGATGATGACCAGGATGAAGAGGAAAGTGGCCACACCTCCTATTATGTAGAACATGATGCTGATGTGGTAGGCAAGCTTGTCTTTGTCGTTGATATTGGGTACCAAAACAGGAGGGACCAAGAACCCAATCGCAATTCCAAGCTACGGAAGACAGACACAATCAGTTACCAATGGCCACCCAGTGACAGCACAACTTGAAAAGATTCCTCCTAAGAAACATAATTACTACTTCCAGTCTTGTCTAAATCCCAGGGAGAGTTATTTCCCAACTTCAAGACACCAGTGAAATTTCTCTTCCAGTTGTGATTGTGACTCACACATATTTCTGACTCTCACGATCTATAGGAAAAAAATTCGAGCTGGCCGTCTCATTACACCTGGCTCCTCTCTAGTGGCACACTCATGCACAGTGGCTTCTGTGCTCCCACCTCTGTGTTAGATGATACAATAATATTGATTTTTGTGTGTGTGCTACTTAAGCGTTTAGTCGCACTGAATCTATTAACCTGGAGCTGAGAGACAAGCTGGGAAAAGTTCCACATCCTGCCACCACAAGCGTGGTGAGATGTTGAGAGTTGGAAGCCTAAAGTTGTTATCAAATTGAGAAACATGAAAGCATCAGTACTTTGTGTGAATAATTTCACAGCTTGCAAGGCATCTGTAGTGTGAAATCACACGCAAATGCAAAATGACTACACCCACACACATCACTGCCACAATCAGCGACAACAAATTAAAACACCTTATATCAGAATTGTAGTCCAAACTCCATTAACCTAGCAGATAGCATGACCTGGGTGTTTCCGGTCAGAAATACTTTGATTCCATGGTAACTGATACCACTCCCAAAAGTCCCTCGGCCATCCACAACACAAAGGCTGAAAACAGCCGTGATCTCAGTCGGAAAACAGCTTCCGCCTCCAGCGGTGCAGGAGCATAGGTCAGTCCTTCATCATGAAGTCACACTCTTCCTTCAGTACAGCTGGCAGAGGAGCAATTAGCTTTCACTGAGGTCCCAGGACCCATGGTAATCTTGCCTAGATGGTAACACTATCTCAGAGGAGCTTGGGAGGCTCTTTCATGCCCTGCATGGCAAATCAAAACATAGAGATTGAATTGTAAATAGCTACTTCTTTTGTTGTTGGTTTGTTTGTTTGCTTGTTTTGTGAAAGGATTTCACTATGTAGTGCAGGTTGGTTCTGAACTCACTATGTAGCCTAGGCTGTAACTCTTGACACAATTTTTTTTTTTTTTTTAAATCGGTACCAGGGATCGAACTCACGACTGCCTGCTTGCAAGGCAGGCGCTTATGCTGCTGAGCTAAATCCCCAGCCCTAGGCTATAACTCTTTGGTGATCCTCCTGCCTTAGCCTCTCGAATGCTGGAATTACAGGTGTGTGCCACTATGCCTGGCTCTTTTCTTTTCTAATAAGTATTTTCCCCTGTGTTGAGAGCAATGTTAAGTGAGAGTCCTCAGCTCTATTTTTAGGTCAATCTAAAAGAGACTCCACATGTTGGTTGATTAGTTGGATGGATGGATGGGTGGATGAATGGATGGATGAATGAGTAGATAGATGGGTAGGTGGGTGGATGGTCAATGGGTCAATGGGTCAGTGTTCAATGATGAACAGATGGATAGATGAAGTAGGTAGAATATCTGTTCTATGTAACTTAGAAAATCACAGATTAAAAAAAAAAAGAATATCACACAAGTGGGCCTATAGAGTCAGGGCTTTTTTCACGAGTTACATTTTACCCATAGTGGCAAGAAACACAACAGGACTGCCAATCATTTCTTGAGCATCTACTAGGCACTAGGTATCCCAGATACTTTATCTTTTATTTTAACTCCAATAACTTTACAAAAGAGTCAGGCAAGGTCTGATCGGTACCTCTGAGGTCAAAACAGCCCTGAGCTCAAGCCCACAATGAATTCCAAGAGGTGAACAATGCTGACCCTTGAGGATGGTGCTGGCAGCTTTCCTGTGCTCAAAATAAACCCAAACCTGGGTGAGGAATGCGAACAATTCAGTTACCACTAACCAGGTCTGAGTTACTTACGTCCCTGTACGTCTCATTTTATCATTCCCAACAAAATAAAAAGTTATGGGCAAAACACAGCATTCATAGTAAAGCCAAGTCTGCAGTCTTAACTCTTCAGAAACTTCCTAAAAATTACCTTTAAGCTAGCTGTGCCAGTGCCCCCTGTTGTTCCAACACTTGGGAGGAAGAGGCAGGAGGATCCCTGTGGGTTTGAGGCCAGCCTGGACTACATAGTGAATTCAAGGCCAGCTTGGGCTACCTAGTGAGACCCTATCTTTAACAAATAAAACAAAGCAAATACAATAAAAATTGATTTATAAAGTGTAGCAGAAGCCAGGTGTGGTGGCACAGCCCTGTAATCCCAGCATTCGGGAAGCTAAGGTAGGAGGATTGCTGTGAGTTTGAGGTGAGCCTGAATTACATACTGAGACCATGTCTCAAGAAAATATTAAAAATAAATAAGCCAATAAATGTGGATCTGAGCTGTCTTCACCTTTATGTATCTCATTGCAGTGTTTCCCCCCACCATCCCTCAGGTGGGGTGGTCCTGAGCACACACAGGGATCCCTGTCACCCATCAAGGAGACATCAAGGACAAGAGCCTCAGAAAAAGCATGGATCAGGGCTCCTAATGGTGTCCATGTGGCTGTGCTCCTAGCCATTCCCAGCAGCCAGTGAGCTTTGGGAAATGTGATTGGATCACATCCCTCCCCTGCTTAAGCCCTGCAGGGGCATCCTTCTGCTTTCAATTAGAGGTAAAGGTCTTAAACAATGCCCACAGAATGCTGCTCACAGGGCTGACTGCTGGGTGGCTCCTATGTACTCCCCAGGACCTGGCACGCTGGCTTCCTTCCTACTTTCATGTAAAGCTGCCTTTGGGTTTTGTTTGTGGTTGTTTTGTTTTGTTTCCTTCCTGACTTTTTTTTTTTTAAAGATAGGATCTTGCCATGAATTCCAGGGTGCCCATGAACCTACTGTGTAGCCTGCCTGATCTCAAGTCCACAGCGAGGCTCCTGCCTCAGCCTCTTGAGAGCTTGAATATAGATGTGCACCACCACACCCAGCTCCCAAAGCCCCCTTATAATTGAGGACCACAGGAAGCTTGCGCTAGATCCCTTCTAGGACCAGAATGTCCTTGTTGCCCTGTTTCCCCTAGTAAATGCAGACATCGTTAAGTAATGAGCTTGAGCCACCTTTCTCGGCTTTCTCCGATCCCTTACATGAGGCCAGGTCCCTCTGAGGTAATTTGTTTGATTATTTAACTAACAGCTGGTTCTCCAACCAGAATAAGTTAATGCTTAGGTCTAGAACATGGCATGTACTAATACTCATCACAGTAAGATGTGTGGAGCTGTCCACACAACGTCTCTATCTTCACAAAAACTGCAGCAAGAGGAGTCTAACACTGGTCCAGTTTTAGGGATGGAAGGAACTGAGGAGGAGTAAAGTTAAGTCACTCACCCAAAGTCACACAGCAATAGACAGCAGAGCAGAAGTTTCAACAGTTTTAAGTCCAGAGCTTGCTTTAGTCTATTCCACTCCCCAAACAGGTGTTGAACAGAAGGCGAGATTAACAAAAGGCTGGGCTGGCAGCCTGCAATCCACTAAACTCTTTTTTTCTACTTTATTTCTGCCCTTTCTGAAAACTCAAGCATAATGTCTAAATGCTGCAGTCACGTCAGTGGTCATGAACACACCCAGGGTGACTATCCCAGTCACAGACATGTCTAAGTGTCTGAGAGCTCTGGCTGACAAGAAGCCACACTGTGTGACCTGCCACTTGTCATGGACTTACTCATTCAACAGGGCAAGAATAAATGCAAAAACTGATCGGGCTGCGTCTAGGGCTAGAGTCCCACACCCCACTGATTACACAGCACAGTACACGAGCCACACAGGCTCAGAGCCCCACAGAGCCATTCTCCTCTCCACATCCACCTCACAAACCCCTGAGTGAATCAGTTCAAGGAGAATCCTGAAACAAAGCTGCCTCCCCAGATGCTGGCCAGGCTCCGCTGTAGTCCAGCCAGACTGGACCTTTATCCCATGTTCTCTGCTGTTCTTTACCATCAATCCACAGCAGTGTCTTCCCTTCTCCTCCCCGAGTGTGAGCCCTCGCTCTCCCTCCCTCCAGGCCTTTGGTTTTTAGCCATCTCTCTGACACTAGCCCAGTTCCTGATACACTGGACAGGTGCCTGCTCAATAAATAGGTGCTGCTGAATGAGTGGCAATTGACTAGCGTGTCAGGAAAATGTCACTTCCGTGGCAGACTGATTGTGTGAGCCCACCCTTGTGGAAAGATGTAGTTAGAAACCGAAATCTTGGCCAGATTCTCAGGAAAGGTTTACTGTTTCATTAAGCATATTCAGTATCTTTTTTAAAAATCAGAGTCACGGGGGCCAGGGGTTTAGCTCAGTGGTGTAAGTGCCTGCTTGGCAAACATGAGGTCATGAGTTCAATCCCTGGCACCAAAAAATAAATAAATAAAAGTAAAAATTAGAGTCATATAAAGGATAAACTGAGATTCAAGCTCGACTTCCTCATCAGCTCATATGAGCCATGTTCATGTATGCAGTCTGTACCTCCCTTCCCCGGATGCGATGCATACTGAGGTCCCTATGTAAAGCTGTGTTTCTATGTCTCTCCATGCACACTAGCAAGGGGCTTTTTAATCTTCAGCTAACTCACAGAGTGGACAGCTGAGGGAAACTTAAAATGTACAGATAAATGTAAGAAATGGCATTATAATGTCAGATGTGGTGGAGCGTGCCTGTAATTCCAGCATTTGAGAGGCTGAGACAGGAGAATCCCTGTGAGTTCTAGGCTACATACACAGTGAGTTCAAGGCCAGCCTGTACCATACAGCAAGACCTTGTCTCAAAAAAGAGAAAAAGAAAGAAAGAACAGACAGACTATATAAAGGTCATGAAGTAGGTATGGAATTTATGGGCTTTGAAATGTGCTAAAATATAATATGGCTAATTTCATTCCATGCCATACACTCCTGGGGCTGAGACTCTTGGCACTGGTTCTCAGGCCTGGACAGCATGGCCTCCACTTAAAGCTCTGTCTCGAGGGACCAAGTGCACCTGGGGAAT